TGTTGTAATAATTATCTGATAATATATAATCTGGGTAATCCAATAAAGTAATCATCTCATACTAGAGGTTAATAATCTCTAAAAATCAATTAATTTTCTAGAAAATTCATATAATTATGGACTTTCCAGGGCATAAACATCCAGGATTTCAATGCATTTGTACTCAATTCCTGGATAGCCCCTAAGACTTACTCTCTTAAGTAAACCTGATTTACTTCCCTCTTGATTTCTGATTACCTTTCTTCCTCAGAGGTAGTCATAGTCATACCGGTCTATTTTAGGGTCTTGTATTTCAGGTAAATGGCACAACAGCTGTGCTGTGATCCACAGGTCTTTAAGAAGGACAGGAAAAGAGGACAGAAACAGGAGTGGATTTGCACTCTATAAGAAGAGATTCAGATAAATCACACCCTGCTATCGATTAGACAATGGGTGAGCCAAAAGCTTATGGGTAAGATCAGAGAGAAGACCAACACAGACATCTGCTGTAGACCATCCCATAGAGAAAAGGTGGTGGGAAAGACTTCTTTAAACAGTTTGAGGAAGCATCAGGACTGCAGTCCCTGGCTCTCACAAGGACTTTAATCCTTCCTGATGTATCTTGGAAAAGTAACCTGCAAAACTTCAAGCAACTCAAGAGGTTTCTGGAGTGCTTTGAGGTCAAAAATCAATTTTTTTGAAGCAGATGCTGGACTGGCCAGAGAGGGAAAGTGCTCTGCTGGATATTCTATTAATAAAAAATGGTCTCATAAATAAGTAGAGCCTGTGGCTGCATTGACTGCAGAAACCCTGAAATGGGGATTATAGGGTCTGAGAAAAGAGAAGGCATCAATTAGGAGAATAAAGACTCTATGACATTAAAAGATATTCTAAAGAATTAGCTTTCCCAAGAGAACGATTCAAGAAATGAGTAGGTGAGATCTCATTGCAGACAACCCTGAGGAGCAAAAACATCAAGAAGTTAACTAATATTCAGGAGCAACTTCTTCAATGATATTTGGTCTATCCTATCATGTGGAAAACCAAGAAAACTCTGTAAAAAAATAGCATGTATGAAAAGGAATATATTCTGACTGAGCTAAAATGGAAAAAAGAAGAAATACTAAAAAAGTGGAAACATGGATAGGCTATCAAGGAGGAATAAGAGCCATTGCTCAAACAGGCAGTGCAGGAGCTGGGAAAGCTGAGGTTGGATAAGAAGATATGGATGTGAAGGGTTTTACACAGGAACAGCAGAAGGAAGACAACTGAAAACATGACTTTACTGCTGAGTGGGGTAGTGAATAAAAAAAGATGTGACAAAGGCTGAACTAATCCATTCCTTGGTCTTTACTGGCAAAGCCAGCTCTCAAGATTTCTGTATTTTCCTGTTTAGTGACAGAATTTGGTGAAAGCAGCAGGCATAGGAGCAGTCAAGCTGGGGTCCACTTAATCCCTATGGGCACACAGAAGTCCATGGATCAAGGCAGTGTCTTGAGGATGCCAAGGAAGCTGGCTGATGTCACTGTAAGAGTGCTATCAATCCTGAAAGGTGGCAGAGGCAGCTCCCAGTCTCTGAGAACAAAATCAAATATTAGTCTATATTCAAAAAGAACCAGAGGAGGCTCAGGAAGACCACAGTCCAGTCTGCATCATCCTATCTCCAGGCAGGCTGTGCACGAAACACTCCTGGAAGACACTTCCAAGCACACATGTTTGCAAATAACCAATACAAATTTGCTAAGGATCTGAACAGACTAACTGCTCTCTATGACTATTCCTGTGGAAAAGCAGAGCACAGTGCTTTTTCTTCAATCTCTATCACATTTTTTTCTTATAGAGCCTTTGTAGTTCAGTTGTAGAGATGCAGATGGATGAGTGGTTAAAAACTGAATGGGCCTTTCAAATCAAGGCTAGTGAACACAAAAAGCCCAAGCAAGCAGTCTGTAGGAGTGATGCAGGTGGGGTCATGGCAAGGACTGATGTCATTAATTTCCATCAGTGACATGGACAATAGACTACATAAACTGAAATTAAATGCTACCACAACACCAAACAGGGCAAGGGCAAAGCTGCTGCTCAGAGGGACTTTGGCAGATGGAAGGAATAGGCCAATAAAATCCATATAAGATCCAACAGGGTAGCAGAAGGCAAAAGCTCAGGCTTTAACTCATGCCAGCTCATGAGTTGACAACCTAGAGACTGCATTTGCAGGAGGGGAACTGGATGTCCTGATGGAACAGGAAGAAAGACAGTGCTGTAGCCTTGCAGTTGATGCAAGTTAACTGCACTGGCCAGCAGATCATTCAAAGTGATCATTACTCTTCCATGCGGCATAGTGGTGCCCTATGTGCAGGATTGTGTCAGCTTGTAGAGCCACTAGTAATAGGAATCTTAACAAACTAAAGAGACTGCAGAGGAGGACTGAAAGGGTTAAGGGGCAGGAGGAAGCAAAAGACTGAGAGCACTAGGTTTCTTCAGCCTGAGTGGTGGATCTCATAGCTGTGTTCTGTGACATAACAAGAGGATTATAGAGAAGGTGAAGCCACAGGTGCACTGCAAAATGACAATAGACAGATGCCCAGTTGCAGCAAGAGAAATTCCAGTTGGATATGTGAGGTGGCGGGGTTGCGGGGGGGAAGAAATTAACAGGCTGCTCAGGTGTATCGTGGAATCTTCTTTCTTCAAGATTTTCATTCACTGGTGGAGAAACTGAGCGACCTGTTCAGACTTTAAATATGGCCCAGATGTGAGCAGAAGGTATGACTACATACCTTTCAGATGTGCCATCCATCTTAAATGATTCTGAAATTCCAGACTATCAAATACACTCTGTGTGTTCTATGTTTGGATGGCTTAACTATGCAAAAGGAAAAATAGTTATTTTATTCTGACCTATTGCTGGCTGCTTATACTTTTAGGGTGTTTATAATTTATCTAGAGTTGCACAGAAGTATTTGTTTTTGTGCAACAATAAAATTAATTTACTTTTTTTCCTTAATGCAAAAAATTCAAACAAGGTGGAGCACAGAAAATGTTATTTTACTGTGAAAGAACTTTCCCCTGTGAATGAGGTTTAAATCCCTTAACATTTAGCTCAGTTTCCACTTTGCTTTACACCTGTATAACAACATTTCCCTGAAGTCACAGACCTATTACAAGAATGAATATGTCAATTTCTTAATTACACCCATGGAGCAATGACATCTTGACAGCTTGTCTATCTTTGTCACTGAATTTATCTTGAGATCACCTCAAGGTCAGCAGTGCAGTAGCAGTGGCTGAATAGGGAAAAGTCCTGCACCATTCAGGTCTCCAGAACTGAAAGGGTGTTGGCTGAATTGGTGCCTTCTAAATTGGTGACTTCTAAATCCATTTATGTTTCAAGGTCCTGGGTTGTTTGGTATATGTACTGTTTCTTCAGATGACTGAGTCACCTGACATACTCAATGTGGCTGGCAGTGAAGATCCATTCAGGAGGAAACATCTGGTGTTCTTTGGTGTTCTCTGGTCTTTTTTGCTCACCTAGCACTTGGATAATGACCAATATAAGTTGTTCATCATTCAACTACCATTTCGGCCAGGGGTAGTTACTTGGATATTTTTAGCAGTTGTGTTTCTTAGGCTGGGGCTCCATTACTGCTTCTAAATAAAAATTAGGATCTGTACTGCCATTTGAATATTTTTTTCCTAAATTTTCAGCAGCTACAGTTTTTTCTTACAGTTGTTATAAGAGGTAAAAGCCCAAGTGGGTGGGTGTAATAATGCAAACAAAACCAAATAACTCATAGCTGCAAGACTGAAATTCAGCAAGAGAGAGACAAAATCAAAATATGACCATATGGAAACTCTACAATGTGAAAAATGTTTGTTTCTTTAATTCTGAGAGGAAAATGGCAAAGATTTGTAAAAACCTTGATGAAAACATAAAATAAGCAACAAAGTAAATCACTGTAATAATTCTACATACACTCATTCAAAAAGAACCCTTCCAGAAAACACATGCACTTGAAAAACATACTGTTTGTGGAAAACTTTGCAACTACTACCAAGTTACTTAAATATACTGCTGCTCTTAGGTTGAAATACATAAAACCCATGGAATGGATTGAACCTATACCTATATATCTCTTATTATCTCTTAAATTAGTTTGATTATTATAACACCCTATAAGAGACTGTAAAATCCTGCTAGCATAGGCAGATCCTCTGGCATTCTTTAAAAGCAGAGCTCTTTCACCCACAAATTTAACTGACCTTCTTGTCCCCTGCCTTTCAGAAACTACAGCTACAAATGCCATCTGTATTAGCAATATAATGCACGGAATGACAGTTTGATCCTTTATCTGAGCTATTGGAACAAAGAATGAGTGGTTATTAAAATTATGACTGACTTTAGGGGTCAGTAATACTTGGCATTTATGTAAGACTTATTCTCAGAGAGCAGAAATAAACTCTGTAGGCAAATGCCAAATACAAGCTCACCCTCCACTGGTCATGGCTAATAACCTGCCCGTCACAGCAGAGGACAAAGGGTGGCTGTACAATAGAGCAGCCAGTCACCAGCGATTTCCCAGGAAGCTTCACACAGCAGTGCTAGGCAGACTTGTGAGAAAGAGAGCTGATGTTACGTTCCAGTACATATTAACAAGCTGTTGGGCCTAAAGTGCTGAATCCTGACTCCATTTGACAAACACATCTCCTGTTGAATTCAGCAGAAGCTCAGCAGGGGTCAGTCTGTGGCTCAAACAGGAGGGCTAGTCAGCAGGACAGCTACTTAAAAGTGATCACACTTAACGGCTTTGCTGTAGTCTTCCTCTTTTGCCTTCGTCATTTTGGAGTTCACAAGGTCATTTGACTAATGATAGTGACAATCCATTTACCCATGAAACACTTGTAGACTGAGATGCCATTTCAGATACAAGGATTATGGCTACAATTGCAGAAGATTCAATGATTGCAAGCAAATTAAGAGGAAGGAAGCAGGGAGAGAGGGAGAGGAAATCAAACAATGGCAGAAATCCCTGATTGTTTCTTTATTTGCTTACACTAAACTATTTCTATTACACAATGGAGAAAGAAAATTATTTCCAAATATTTCCATTCTGCAGTCTGTTTTTCTACAGCTGTAATTATCCAAGGGCATAGGCGCAGTAACTTCTGTAAGGAGGTGTAACACTCCCTGTCAGCTTGTATAGAGTTTAATTTTCTAGCTATACTGATTGATCCAATAAAGGATTCTACCTCTACAAATTTTGTCACAGGAAATTTACTGATGAGGGTTAGATTTTTCTCTAATAAACTCCAAGACAAAATCTCACATGTGATTTCTCAGCAGGAGTGGTAAAAAATAGACTTCACTCTCTTTCTTTTCATTTTGCTTCTGGGCTAAGACATGCTACTGATTGCTTTAGTTTTATCCTAGGGTCACCCTTTGTGTTTCACCAAGGATGCTCTAGGAAATCCAGCTCCCACTGGAAAAGTTTGGCAGATCAGCCTCTCCTCTCTGCACTTCTTCGCCTCTAACACTGGGCCCCAATGTTCAGCTGGGACAAAAAGTGCATTCCACATCACATTTACCACAGTTCTGCCCCAGACTTGTGCCAGAGTAAATAAGTAGCATGCATCTGCCACAATCAAAGATAAAAACAATAGCATGTTCAAGAAGTCAACAACAAAAAATAAAAAACCCCTGAGAGAATACAAATAGGAGTTAAAAGATAAAGACTGACAGTCCCCAGAGCCTCCACATTACTAGGGCAGTTGCCTGCTACAGGAGCGGTGATAAAGCTCTCTTCTCTAGCCTGAAAGAGACTTGAAGGCCTCAAAATCAACTACAAACAGAATCAGAAAATATGGTGTGTGGAAAGAAAAATTTTATTAACCTACCCAAAAGAAAACTCTCAGGTAGGCCACTGAAAACAGGAGCATGCAGTACTGAGTGGTTAGGAGGAAAGTTTTTTGTTTGCCCATACTAAAAAAACAAACAAATCTCTAAGTCTATCCATGCCTCAGCCACACCGTGACAGGCTGGTTTTCTGCCTCCAGCCACCAGCAGCCAGCAGTGCAAAGCTCCTTTCTTGATGGCTGCTGTCCTTTTTCCATTGTTGCTCACTCAGGTTCAGATAACCGTCTATTTTTGGAGGAGCAGAGCTCCAGACCAAGAATTAAAAGTCATTGTAAAGGGCAGCTGGTTGTTGTACACTTCCAATACAAGACCTTTGTTCAAGCAATAAAACATTTAAATCCCTCTTGCCTCATATGCTCTCTGTGTTGAAGAATCCCTAAATTTAAAGTAAAAAATTAAAGCATAATCATTACGTTAAGATTAATTAATATATTCTATCCCTTTATCACAAAATGTGTTTTCCAGGTGGTGAGGTTTTTTCAGCTAATTTAATGTCCTATTAAGAGTATTCAAATGAAGGATTAAAATTATAGTAAAAATGGGGAAATATTAGATTTAACACCAAAACTTGTAGATACAAAGATTTATAGTCTAAAGTTTTAAATAATTGTTCAAACTTATAAGAGACTGTTCAAAGCTGTAAATGAAAACTTCTGGAAATATTTATTATATGACCCATAACAATCATGGTAAGACTTGTAAAAGTTATTAGAGTTGTCAGCTTAGCACATAAAAGTCAAGATAATGTCACAGATATATCTTTTCTGTGTATATCACAATTGGCAAATTGAATTTAAGAATTTATAGGAATGCACTAGGAATTTGATGATTTGTTTTACCTGTCTCTAGAAATGTCATTCATGTAAGTGTCAGCAGCTACTATAATGGAAATTATTAAAGAGATAAAAAGCTACAACTGTCACCTCCCTATATCTCTCTTTCAGACCTTCTGTTTGGAAGGTCTGGTTTTCATCCTGCCTTTCCTCATTGCTTTATACAAGGCTATGTTCAAACTGGGAAAATTAGAAATCATCTCTAAGTCAAACAGTGTCTGAAATCTGTCCACAAATCTGTTCTCATTCTCCAGCCTAAATTTCATGGCCCACAGAATAACAGTATCATTCTTGCACAAGTGATCAAAAGTTAGGAGGAGTTCATCCAAGAATGGATGGTAGTAAACTACGTCAGCAGCCATAATGTAGTCAAAGTGACAGGAAGACCTAGGGAAGTTCTTTTCCAGATCAATTCCCCAAGACAACTCCTTAACACAAGGCTGGTGTTTGCATTTCTGCTTTGTATTTTGGAGAATGTTGTACTGAAGGTTTCCCAGCAGTTCTGGCAAATCTGTGGCAGTCACAAAGGCACCTGTGACACAGAGAAAACAAATAAAATATTTTAATATACATCAACACTGAGTAAAAGCACACTCACAAAAGCCACTGCACAAGAAACTGGTTTTATCAGGTAACTTTCAATGAGGGCAATAAAAAAATGCATATGCTCCCAATACCTCTTAAATATTGTGTTTAAAATAAATATTTGCTTTCTCGTAGTTCTACTCTACAGATTGCTATCTAAATGCAGCTGGTGGGGAGAACTCAGATACTTACTGTATCTTGATACCACACTGGTTAAAAGTACAGTGGCTGACTAGGGATTGATGAATATTAATTACTGAATCCAAGAAGTCAGCATGAGATTTAAGCATTACCTCAGGTTCTTCCCTTCTCACACAAGAAGCTTTCTCAGACTACCAAAAGCTAAAGTTCTGTTAAAATGAAGAACCCACTGACCTGGATTACTCTTGAAGATGAATAGGGTGCCATGAGAGAAAATACAACAATGTCTGTAGCAGAAAGATCAAGTTGCTGAAGGAAAATACTGGAACACAAGTGGATAGAATTGGATAGAAGGTGACCTGGCATCCAAGAGCTGTTTGGTCAAAGGAAGGGGATAGGGGATGCACTGGTCATACTTACATCTGGCTCAATCTATTTGCCACTGATACCCTGCAAAGCCACTAATTTTTTATTTTGATCTCCATTGTTAATGACAACATATCTACTGGGACCTCCTTTATTCTTTATTGTATCAATACACACCCAGGGGAACAAAAAAAAAAAAAAAACAACACCACACCAAAGCATGTTTTCAAACAAGCCTTTTAGAAATAACTGTTTCTCGCTTTCTCTTGGAAACTTTCAAACAACAGTCTCCTAGAAGGACCAAGCCACATCATTTGTCCTCCATTATTCATCTGAGAGGTGTTTCCAAGAGTTTAAGAGAAATGTCACATACTCACCCAGCAAACTGGCTACTATGGAGACCAAGCCAGTTCCAGCTCCAATTTCAATCACATTTTTGTCAACCAAATTGCATTGTTTAGAGTTAGTTTCCAAAAAATAACACAGAACAAGAGCCTGTAGGGGAGGAAATCCATGAACATACTGAACAAAATAATTAACTAAATTCCTTTACTAAATATGAATTGGCATATAAAAGCATGCAAAAAATTTGTTGTATGTTCAAATGAGCAATATTCATTCAAACACAATCCATAATGGACCACAGCTCAATATGTTCTTTGGGCTCTATAGGCCACAAAATAAATGCTACAAAATGCCCCCATATAGGTCTGTGAATTATTACAGACAGAAGGAGCAACTACAATTAGATAATCTGTCACAAGACATAACAGTCACAAGACATAACATGAGTTGTAAAATTCCGGTCACCAATCCCTGCTTATAACTGGACTTACTTCTGGTTGAGATAAAATGCGTCCTTCACAAAAACATCTTGATATAAAGACTGCTTCTGAGAGAAAATCCACAACAGCCCTTGTTAAGTTCTTCCAATAGTCAATTATTTCTGGCAATAATTAATTATTGTTAGGATTCAAAATGGACAAATAGATTTACTTCCTTTTCTTCTGGTTCAGTTTGTTTGCAGTTTCTATTTGCTTACCTTGTTAAGCTTAGCAAACCGTCATAGCAAACAGAGCCACAAAGAGCATTTACAACAGACTCCTTACACATGTATAAAGTGATTAACTGATCAGTTAAAGTGATTAAAAATCTTCTTCAGCTTTTCTGCCCTATCTCACAATGACCAGTGAGTTTTAGTTCACTGGTGAAATAGAAACTGCTACTTTTATTTCCCTCAAGAAGATAGTTTCCATATTTACTTCCATATTTTTCTCAGACTTTGATAGCTTTGATAGCTCTCAAACTTTGATAGCTTAATTTGTCAATGGATAATCTCCATTGACAAATAAGATGATTGCTATATGCTTTCACAATACAGATGACCACCCGGAAAGACAATTATTAGTGGCCTGCCCTGGCACAGCAAATTTAGTTTTGCTTTTAACTAATTATGAATGAGAAGGAAAGGATCAGGAGGACTGCTGACCCAGTGTTAATGCTAGAAAGTAAAACAAAGGAGTTTCTTCTACCTCTTAATTCAGAGCACAGAAGAGGAGGTAATCTGAACTTACATGTATCATTTAATCAACAGCACTTTGATATAGAAATCAGTTTGTGAGAATCAGGAATAATTAAAGTCAGGTTCCTAAAGACTGGATCTGATATTTGACATTATATTGACATGATATTTGACCTTATATTAGGATTTCCTCCTAGTTACATTAATTTCTATAATTCCTTCCCTCAGGGTTTTGCTGTATTCTGTTGTAGAAACTGGCTAGCATAATCAAAGTTTCTGAGGGTTAAATCAGGGAAACTTTGAAATCTGCATTCCTTTCCAGGAAACATGCAGAAACTTTACTTTCCTTAAAGTTTTTGCATTTTTGACAAATTTGACTGACATTTTTCAGAAGATTTCAAGTACAGCTAGATGAAAGTGGAAGGAAGAACATCAAGAGACAGAGATCGAAGGATTGTCTTCCTTCCACAACAAAACTGGCTAAGTACTTCCAGAAAAAAAAAATATATATGTTATTCAGTAAAGTCCATGATTTTGCATGAATAATCGGTAGTCAGCCAAACTTTCCATGAAGACATACACTGAGGTCATCAAAACATAGTACAGATGACTAGTCCAGATCTCCTAAAACCAGAAATATCATTTGGACTTCAAAGCAGAAGAGCAGAACAACTATCCTCAGCTGAACTATGGTCATACTTCTAAAAATTTGTATGATCCTAGGAGGCTGAGGCAGTTGGGAAAGAAATGGAACATCCTGGGTCTCTCCTTTAGGGACAAAATATTTCATCATGCATTGTGGCACCTCCCTGGAGATTTCTTTCAGTCTTAACTACTTCAAAACAGTAAGTTTGCTGCTTTGGACAGATTCAAAATCTGAATAAGACTACTTGTATGGTGAAAGCATTGATGGTTCTTATATCAAGAGCCAAGGAAAATTGTTCTCTCCAACTAGATTTCCAGCTGTTTAAGATACTGAAAGCTCCAGCTGAACATTTTCCCATGTCTATTATTAACAAGGTAAATTTGTTCCTTACATGAGTAGGTTGAGTAGCTTCTGTGAGTGCTAACACCTTGTGAGTTCATATCACAGTTGTTTCTGCAACCTGGATCTGTCTGCTACACGGCCATCTGTATTTATAAAACGTATAGAAATGCAATCATCATAAAACTGCCATATTTCTTTCAAAATATGCTGGTAATTGGCTAATAGGATTAAAAGCTACTGGCAAGCAAGGAGGGGACACAAGATCATACACCTTGGGTGATTGGGGCATGCACAAGAAATACCAAGTAAGCTTTGAGAAACGTAAGTCCACACAAAACCAGGTTAAATTCAGGTTTGGATTTTGCAGAACAGAGACAGAGAAGCACAGAATTATTTCCTTGGATTTATAACATGTTAAAAAATATATTTATTACACAAAACAAATCTTAAAATGCTAGATGGCTCCAAAAATGAAAAATAACTATACTACAAAAATATTGTACCGACGGCCAGACGACTGCCCCATAACAATCAGTGGCTTCTGTAATTCTTATCTCATGGCCAGCAAAGTGAAAGCCTTCCCAGGTCTTATAAGCTGTATGATCAGGAAAAAAACGCCTCCCCATGATTTCTGCAACTATCTGTTCATCTTCTTTTTCCCCTGGAAGCAAAAGTATAAAATGTCAAAGAGGTTGAGTGGACTGATAATAAAACTACCAATTCATATTGAAAAGCAAGAATATGAATTACATCTGTGAATAAAATACATTTCACCATTAATGGTCAGCATGATACACAGCTATTCTCCTGAATTCTAATTGAAATTTTCAGTGTGTGAATAAATAACTTCTTTCATGTTTCACTGAAGCAGCCAAGTCCATACAAAGTAAAGAAAGGGAATATTAACATACACTGTTTTCCATTTCAGCAACCCAAAGGAAAACTTTAAACTTCTTCTTCCTTTCAAGAACAGCTACCCTAGTATAGACACTCACAGCCTTATGCACCTGGATTTTTCATTATTCTCCATATCCTTTTACTGTTCACTTTCCCCATATTCTGGTTCTTTCTGGCAGTAAACAAAAGGAGCCAGAATATAATTTATAAGTCTGTCACAAAACCTGTGAAACAGATCCTAGCAACACAAATTATGATAGACAGGAGTGAAAGCACTCGTGCTGTCAGGAAAGCTTATCCACCCACCCCAACAGAGCCCTGTCAGAGGGATACTTTCCAGTTGGCTTGATATCCTGAATACCATCCCTGTTGCTAAGCAAAGAATATTTATGATAGCTACAAAATCCTGGATAACTGTTCTAACAGAAGAGGATTCATTCCTTTTTAGCAGAACACCAAGATAGTTTCAGTTTTGCCATCATCACACAAAACTGCACCACAATGTCAGAAAACAATATGTAAGGGAAACTGTCTAGAGCATTTTCTTAGCAAAGTCTAGATTCATTCCAAGTTTTCACAGGAATGTTGCTTTCATAGCCAGCTATGGTCTGTTGGCGAACCAGTGAAAGAAAAACATTTGCAAGCTATGCCTTCTAGAAAGCATGCTAGAGATTTAGATAACCCAGTTACCACCTTGTCCAAAGCAGAGGTTCTGTATCAAGCTTGCAGCTCCTATCAAAATCACAGATATTAATTTTGGGATCTGCTGCTTCTGGAAAATGAAACCATTTATGCTTTCATCAACATAAAAGACTTTGCTCTACTGAAGATTCTTCACATTTTCTTCTCCCTTGAATCATGGCTGTCACAGGACATAATGACCCCAAGTGTTGTCATTTATATTGCCATATGCCTCAGTATTATTATTGTGATAACATATAGACAAAGTCTCCCTTCCTTCCTTGGGATACAAGGCCTAAGGAACAAAAGCAGGGGTGAACAAAGAAAAAGATTATACCAGACAAAAAGACATCATGAAGCTGCTCAAATTTATTAGCCAGTGCTTTGAGCTTGTAACTCGAATTTCACCATCACAGGAAAATAAAGAATAGCAGCAAACAAGCAAGAAAAAACAAAAATATTTGAATTTGTTATGTTGATATTAAGACACAAAACCCAATAAAAACTGACTAACCAACCACAGTACTTGTAGAATTTATTGCAGGGGAAAAACCCTAATAATGGAATACAGCAAAATTAAAAATAATATCATGCATACACTACAGGAAAAAAAGGTTTTCATAAATTTTATTAATATAACTATAATAAAATGCCCAACATTGAAACCATGGTATTTTAACCTGTTGGGAAACAAGCAGTATGTGTCAGCCTCTTCAAGCCTCTGATGTTAAGCTGGGAGAAAACACATTCATCACTGTGCCTGTAATCAGGGAGCTCTTGACAAACATGAGCTAAGTGCCATGTTTATGGGAAATGCTGCTTCAGGACAAAAATAATATTTCTCTTATGAAAGAAATAATAAAAAGCTGTCTTATTACACATATCATAAATGTATTTAATAGATGATCCTGTTTCCAAGCATACCAGATATAGCCTGCTTTTAATCTCCTCCGATTGCTAAGAGTAGTCTGATCTTGTTCTGTGATCTTTGCTAGCTGTGGAAGTAAAAGCTATTCTTTCTATTACCTTTCAATTACAACCATTTTTCTTGATTTTCCTCCCTTGACATCTGTTTTGGATCCAATTTTGTTGAGATGCTGGTAACTTATTAGGTCTGAACTTCTAAAGCTCCTGAGAGAAGATCTATAAAACTTTAGCAGTACTACAGCTGCCCCTCTAGCACTCAATAAACATTTCCCCCCTATTCCCTACAGGATCAGCACACTTTCTACTTCAGGTTTGGATAGCACCTACACTAACAGAGTTTGTAAGCCACTGCTCTCTTCCTGAGCACTGTTTGTATCCCTGAAAGAAGAATCCCAAATCTGCTGATCAATAACACCTCTTGAATTTTTGCCCATCTTAACCTTTTGGTAATCTTCCAGGTACCTTATCTGGAGAACCTTATGCTTTTTTTTATTTTTATTTTTAATTTCCCTTTTAAAAACCACTACTATTTTGAAGAACCAAAAATAATATCTGTTTCATCAGAGTTACCATATGTTAGACAAGGCCCAAAGGAGAAACTATCAGAAAACCAGGATGTTAATGATCCTGACAAAGAGAGCTGAAAAATAAGGAGTGCAGAGTTTTAGTCAGATTCATTTATTTCATACAAGTTTCCCTTTGAACAGCAAAAAACACTCCTCTGTTTTCTGCTTCTTATCTTTCAGAACAACTTCTTGTGGGAGTGCACAAAAGGAAACATTATTTTTTCTGTAACTGCCCTCAAAGCACTGAGAATAGAAAAATAAAGAACTAGTGGGAAATATTTTAAGTGACACAAAAACTGTTGTAAGAGTAAGTAAAATCCAAGTGAGATGAACTCTTTTAATATCTGAAAACATTAAGGAAATTCTGCTCGTCCTTTGATCAAACTAGTTCCTAAATAACAGGTGTAAAAAGCTGAAAGGGAGTTATTCTCCTGAAAGTGTTTACCTCTGTGCTAGTGAATATTCTCTTGCTCAGAAAAAAAAAGCCCTGAAATTTTGAGTCAATGAATGGACTCTAATGAAATTTTAAACAAATGGAGATTACTCATCAGTAGAATAGAGTAGGATAAGAGAAGAGGAAGCTTGACTGACCTGGCTATAAATTCTTGTAAGAATGGAAGTGCATAATGGGCATTTCCAGCAATACTACTGGAGCACAGATACTGAACCATCAGAACTTAAAAGTCTGCCAGGTTTGGCTCCTCCCTTCTTCACAGAGCAAGAAGAAGACAAACACACAGGCTGTGTTTGACAAGATAGGTTTGCCCTCATCCTCTTCTTTGATGTGGAGAAGTGTGGAAGTGGTATACACACAGAACTATTTTCTTTGGCCTATTCATCTATTTGCATGAGCAAACACAGAAACCACTGGAGTTTCTAGTGCCAGAACCTTATTTATGGTAAGATGAAGCAGTGTGATCTATTCAAGGCAATATATAGAAATTGAGATAATTTTTCTTAGTGAAACATAGTGAACTCCTTTGTCTTGAACTTGTGTACAAAAAGTTACCATCTATAGATGCCCCAAATTCTTCAAGAATATCTTTCAGTTTCTTAAGACTTTTTGCCTAATAGGTTAATTACTTACAGTGTTCTTTGGAATATTTTAGATAAAGCATTGCTTATTATGTAAGTCTAACGTCTTTGGAGCATGTTCCATGAGCACCCTTGATTTTACATTATTATCAGGACTGAGGGAAAACCTCATGTACTGTTGACACATCTTGCACTGACATGAGCCTAAACGTCATTCTCAATGGCTAAGCAACTGAAATGCAAACAAAGTTTTCCAAACAGAGGTACTAATCATGTGGAAAACCAGAGTTGTGAAGTCAGTGGCAGGTTAGTTAGAGAAATGTGTGTGAAGCTCCAAAATCCTGTGTAGAGGATTTTGCTGACACATTCACACATCATGTTAAACAAAGGTTTATATGCATAAAATGCTATATGTTAGAACAAAAGCTAAATAAACAGAATGATGTGAGTTCTGCTAAGAGAAAGCTGCAGAATTCCTTCAAGTAGGGAAGGGAAAGTAGAAAGAAAATAACATGAAATAGACCACGTCAGAATGGAAAAATTGTTATCTGCAGCATCTTTTTCTATAAAAATTAAGGCAATCTTTATGTGTACAATTTTGCTTAGAATTAGAAGTATTGCCTGTTTAGAAACAAGCTACATGATTAGTTATTTACACCATTTGTCACATAAAATATAGGTACCTGAACTAAAACATAGCTAAAAAAGTTAAAGGACCCTTCCACCATGAAAGCTGTGAAGAATATACTAGCCTTCAATAGCTCCATTTTCAGACTTATTCACAAAAAACATATAGAGTAACAAAACATACACCAAGTACTTTGCTAGTGGATTAGAAGAAGCATTCATTCAGAAAAAATATTTTCACACATTGATTCATGGGAGCAGCCTACAAGGAAGAAAAAAATATATTAGTCTCTTTTGAGTGTTGGCCTGACTCAGCTTAATCTCAGGAGGTCAAATGGTGTCACAGCCCAATGTCATAAGGAAATAAGATCCAGTCATCTGCTTCTCTCCTGCTTTGATGGATTTTCTCCAACTGGCAAAAGGAATGAAATCCAAGACTTTAGCATGAACTTGCCCTGACAAAGTTCAGCCCTACAGCAACATATTCTCCCATCTTCCCATATTCTCACTAATAGAGCTTAGATTTAAAGTTTACCATTTAGGCTTGTCCTTACAAATATTTTAATACCATGCATCAGCAGCTGTGAAGATGGTTTCTCTATGACTTCTCAGCAACTGCCCCTGCAAAGGAGGACTACCTGTGCTGATTTTACTGATTTAGTGATGCTAGAGAGTTTCTGAGAGATTCCAAGAATTCATAATATCCGGGAATCTTCGGATCACTCTGGACACACAGGAGTGGAGTCATCCAAACTAAGTATTTAAGATGTATTTTATTTATATAATGTGGAAATAACATATATAATACATACTGTTTATATTTAAAAGATATATTGTCACTATCTATATATCCCAAAGTCAAGAGGACACCTGCAAAAAGATCAGTAAGGAAACAAACCTGCAAGTAGTTCTGTGACTGTAAGAAATTACTGGAGAAGAGTTACATTGCTCCACTGATAGAAATTATCCAAAGGTATCCCAATAAATCCATATGGGTATTTCTAATGTCTCACACCAAATTTATCCTAAAACTACATAGAGGTCACAATAGTAGGACTCTGGAGTGTCAGAACTTTTACTGAGCTACTGACATGTCAGGATCAGAGCCCTAGTCCTACAAGCACTACAGATGGCTCTGTGGAAACATACACAATCCTGAATCACTACGCAGTCCCTAAATTTCAGGCATCATCATGTTAGTGTTTTTATTTTTCATTCCACTTATTTCTATTTCTTATTTCTATTTTATTCTATTTCAGCCTAAGGGCTCTCACAGGAAAGTGTTAGGAGGGAAAGCTAATCGTGCTCTTGACTTCACAGAAGTCAGATGTAACATACCCCTTTCTAAGAATATAAAGCAAAGTACCTTTCCAGTATGTCTGAACTGCACAGTTATTTTTTTCTTATTTCATCCTTACCTACAGAAAGTGAAATCATCCTGCAAGTGTAGGCTTCCACTACATTCATTACAAGCTCTGTCTGCTGAAGTGATAGCAATGAAGGCGTGTATTATATTGATTAATCTGAGATACCACGTCAGGGTAACAAAATGCTTGAAACTTTATACATTGAAATGCAGAAATACAAAACTGCAACCCACAGGCAGACTCTTCTCAGCCAATAGACAAAATGCACTTAAGCCCAGAGCATGAGGACACAAGAACAAGAGAAGGGTTTGCTCACAGTATCCAGTCAATGTAATTATCCAGGTTTGAGAGGTGTGTTTTCAGTTTCAAATTTACAACATTGATATCCCAGCCCTATCCAAGTCAAAGGTCATCTATAAACCATTAAATGGCTGGAAATAGAAGTACTGTAGTCATTTTATCTTCTGAACACATAATGAATTCAAGTTTGCCAAGTACTTCACTTGTTACTTCATCATGTTTGTCTGTCATTGAAAACATCTCCAAGCCTGGTCTCAGAATTTATTTACTTTCTAAAAATAACTAAATTATGTCCATTTGACTGCAAAGCAGACTCTGTTCTTAAATTAGATGGCCTAATATACATTATAAAAGGCAGCTAACTTCCTGACAGATAGGAAGAGACCTAAAAAAACGTTGTCAGTATTCAGCTACCAATAATTCTTGATTTCTAAAACATTTCTTTGTATAAAGGACCTGAACACCAACCCATGCAGTCATACCACTTTTCTTATGTGGAAGTTGAGATATATTATTTATTGTCAAAATGCAGCTACTGCAAAGACTAAAGAAGTGAAAATAGGAAAGATGGGCACATGGCTGAGGTGGAAGAATAAGTTACTGACTTCCCTACAAAGGTCACGTATGCCTTGATTATTTGAATGTTGCCTCCAACCTCAGTTCTATCCATACACAAGAAGTTTTCACTTGAGTTTAGCCATGTCTTAAGCAAAGATAGTGTGTCTACTTATTGAGAGGAGAGAAAGACAACAGAGAAGTGTTAAATTAATAAGATGAGCCAGTAGGAAACCAGGATTGCAAGAATCATGCTAGAAGAATAACAAGCAAGGAGAAGTCCAACTACAAATTGGGCACTCAGTTGTGAAAAGGAAAGCATGGGTCCATGCTCCGGTCCCAGGACATTTTTCACATTTTATAACAAAGTCTTTGAAGTCAGTAAAAAAGCATCAGTGCAGAAGAGAATGAGAGAGATGAGAAGTATCTTTAGAAGTAACCCAGGAAATATGAATAAGGTGCTACACCACTACCTCCTCCCAGCTGAATTATCTTAAATTGTAAGTTACAGGGTTAGGATGCTTTTCACTTGGCTCCATTCCAAGTATGTCCCATTTAAGGCACCACTCTGGACTCCACTAAGATGCTTTAAATGATGGCAGGAACTGCCATCAATGAGGACATCTGTCAGGCAGGGCAAGTAGAAGGAGTGTGTCCCTATTAAAATGTCAGGATTTATGAGAAGGTTACTAGGTCAGCATTTTCTCAGATATTTATGGATTAAAAACTGAGCCATGGCCAAGTGAAGTGAGACGATGGACTGTCAAGGACAAGTACACCTTGCAAACTTGTTCTTCTCCTTTTATCTCAGAGATTATTCTGGTGTGAAATTATTCTGGAGTGAATTTATATAAGGCAACTAGGGTAAAGTAATTTCCCAAGAAATCAAGACAGGAGTGGTAGCATCTGGTCTCAGAAACATTTAGCCAAGAAGAGTTAAAGCTAATACAAGAAAACATGTGAGGAGAGAGAGACATCTAACAATACAGGTGTGGAGAACTGATTGCTTAAAACCACAAAAGGAATCATCAGCCTGGGTGAGGACTGACTTGTAAACTGAGAACCAGTAGTAATGGGAATCGTGAACAAAAATAAGGAGTTTTAAACTGGAGAATGTATGACAAGTAAATTAATAAACAAAGGGGAAGGCACCAAATATAAAGAGCTCAGACTGTAAGGGTGGTGCAACACTGAAAGAGGTTGCCCAGAGAAATTATGGATGTCCCATCCTTGGAAGTGTTCAAAGCCCCAAGTTGGGGCTTTGAGTGACCTGGTCTGGTGGAAAGTGTCCCTGCCCGTGGCAGGGGGTTTATAACTAGATGGTCTTTAAGGTCCTTTCCAACCCAAACCATTTTGTGAGTCTATGTTCCTATGACTGAGACTTGCAAAGAAACCAAACTGGAATAAGAACCCTAAGAAACAGATACTGAGACTGGGCAGGTGGAATAATGAAATAGGAATGGGGAAAGCAGTAGAAAAAAGAGGATGAGAACAAGGAAGGCACAGGCTCAAAGTAATCAAGCAGGAAAATCTCCATGCATTACATTCAGCACCCTTCCACCTCCAGAACCTGGCAGAGAATTTAAGATGGCAAAGTCTGTAAAGATATCCAATTCATGTCTTCTCATTCTCTTAGACTAATGTTTATAGACAGGGAAGAGAACTACGTGGCTCTACACAGACCACAACTCAGCTGAGATTTTACACAAAAACATTATGAAAAATAAAACAAATTTTCAAATGTCCTCCTTTTGCATCAGCTGTAGAACACAACTAGACCCCATCGCAGAACCTACTCTTGGTAACTACTAAAAAGGGGACAATTTATGAAGCTTTAGAATCCTTAAAGATGTGCAGCCACGAAAGTACTTAAGAGAAAACACTGCCAACAGCCCCTGAAAGTATTTGAAGGTAGGGTCTGAGGCTGTCTAGACAGAAATCAGGCTTGTAATAACCAATTCTCCTAACTGACAGCCTGTAAACAAACCTGTCTGAAAAGCTTGATCATAGTCACAGCTTCATTCCTTGGAACCAGACACAGGCAAGTAACTGGAGGACAGATGCCAGGCATCAGCAGGAAGCTGCCAGGACAAGAGTATGCAGGTATAACACACTTGAAATACCTCATGCTTTGCTAGCATACTACAACAGTGCTATCTGTTGCATTTTCTGTACAAATGCCATAAACACAGTTCTTAAAAAAAAAAAAAATTAGAAGATAGCTCATTGTCAGCAAGACACTTTGTTCCTTATACTTAATATTATTCTTAAATGCAACAAGGAAACATAGTGAAATAAGAAACATTTTACCCTCTTGTCTTTTGAATTCTCTGACCGCTTGATTTTTTAGATGATTATGCTGTGATGATGTCAAATCCATGCTATGCCACAAACCCTAGGACAGAGAAACACAAGTCTGTCTCAATAAAATTATTTTATTTCCTCTTTCACACATAAGCTTCATTAAAAAAAATATATGTATTATGCTGCAATTTACTTCTACTGATAGTAAAGTCATGAAGACACATAAGTATCAATATTCAAGGCATAAAAGTACAAGACACAGCAAACTAGTTCAACTGTTATATTCTCACAGAGGAAAAAGAACAGATTAAAAACAAAGAACCAAACCAAAGTTTTGATTAATGTTTAGATCTATTTTATGAAATTAAAATCAGGTTTGGTAGGCTTATAAAGGATTGAAAGGAAAGATAGAAACAAATCCTTGAAAGAGAAGAAAAATTGCACCAATGTGATCTAATCTTGTTTGAATTAATTGGCTTGTAAGGGAAGGAAACAATCTAACAGTAAAAGCTGGACATGAGAATAAGGGAGCAAGATCTACGAATAACATGCTGAACAGAAAGAATATGTGCCTATAAGAACAAACAGCATGCTGCAGAAAAAAGTAGTAGGAAAAGTGGGACAGAGGACAATACAATTTTCAGCTGTCTGCAGAAAAGCAGACAGAAAACCAATAGTCTCCAATTCTTGATATTTTACAATCAGAACACTGAGTGCACAGGGAAAAAAAAAAAACAACAAACAAACAAACAAAAAAAAAACCAACAAAAAACCCAGAAAAAACCAAAACAACCTCCCCCCCCCAAAAAAAAAATTTAAAAACCACAAACCAAACCCCACACAATGCTTTGATTATTTTTGATATTTTGATACAATTTTTAAATGTCTACTCTTATGTGGAAATTTTTGCCAGGGTGGTTACAGGCAGTGCATAGTTAATAATCTGCAGATGTCTAAACACCCAATAGGGATGCAATTAAATAAGGCAATGACTAAAAGAGTATCTCTCCATAGTAGGACCAAACAATAAAATAAAAGAAAAAAAAAAGGACAATCAAGATAAAAATATATTCTGAATATGAAATTGTCCTCACAGTGCAAAGTCTTAGGTAGGTTTTTCTCTCAAAACTTCAGGATCAAGAGGACAGTATGGAACAGCCCTCTCCTGTTTGAGAGGATGCACCTTACTCTCTTCACACCACAAAAGGCACACAGGTTCAATGTTTAGCTTTATACTATTACAATACCAGCGGCCATTATCCTGTTTGAAGGTGAAAATAACTTAGGGGCTCTCTACATGTCACCATAGCACACAGAACAAAAATATTGCCATTATACTTATGTCTAGACATGAACTTAGCAATAGTAACATGATTAGACAGGCAACAGAAAAGAGACTCAGTGGGATTCAGTCTCTGTATGCCTCTTCTGAATAACAAGTGGCATAAGAAACTACAGGGATATTAAGCAGAAAACGTTACATTCATCAGCCTGTTTTCTATATCAGAAATATTAAAAATGACAGACTTTCTTCTCATTAGAAGACAAAATAAAAGGTAAAATCACCCTACAGGACAAAGCCATTTTATTTTGTGGTCCTCTACATTTTTTACGTCATCCTAAAAATACCCTGAGGTGCACTGAACTACACAGCAACCTAAAATAGTCCAACGTGGGCATTCAGGAGCACTACAAGCAACTAAACAGCACTGAACAGCTCAGTAACACTTTTTAAAGTGAATTATATAAACTAATTTAGCATAAAAGACAGAGACAAGTGAAACACCACTGGCATCCACCACATTTCGGTCAACGTTACCTGAATCTCTCACAGCTTTCCAAAGATGGTGTTCCAACAGCACAGTCCTTATCTTGCCGGTTGCTTCCCCTGCTGACAGCCGCAGGCACAGGCGTGTTCCCAAGGCTGTGTCACGCATTGCCAACATCCCCACACCACACCGGGAGCGATCACACACCCGACAGCTGCAGCCCGAGCACAAAGAGGGCACCACGCAGCCCTTACGTAAGGGAGCAATTTTGGAACAGCCAGAGACACCCCCCAAGGGAGCTCCAAGCACAAAGGAACCCACTTGGGAGCACTGTTTACTAAATAAATAGTGGCAGGGTGTTTGCAACTCCTCACTGGTACTAAAAAGTAACCGAAGAGCACAAAGCCATTCTTCAGAGCTGAAAGGGTCTTCCAGGAGAAAAAATTATCAAGGGGAAGGGGTGCTTTTGCAGCTGTGGTATAGGAATGCTCCCGTTAGAATGCAGAACTGTAACAAGGTACATAACCCTCAAAATCCTAACCCCATGACCCTGCTGTCACCCTGCATAAATACAAACATACCACTCCTCCATATCCCAGATGTCCATTCATTCACTGGATGAAAACACTGTCGTGGGACCAAACACAGGTATCTAAGACTTCTCTTTTTCAGACTGCAATCAAATCAGGACAGAAGCCGTCTCTTACTTTACACATTTTTAGAAAAATTAGACTTCAATCTCAACTGGGTTTTCTAGGTGTTGCCAAAAAATAATAAATTATTGTACCAAAACATTAAAAAAGCCCTACAAAGAAGTGAGAGTCTCTGTGCCATAGTTAGCAGAAGAAATTAAAGGGAGCTCTTCTACTTGTATAAAAAACTCACCAGGGCCTGATACACACTTTTAAAGCAAAATTCAGTAATGTTAATGAGTGATTTATAAAATAGTGCTGCAAACTGGCTGGACAGACTGAGAATTTGCTTAAAATGTTATAATCTTTTCTAAAAGAAGTATCAAAAGGGATGATTTTTCACCCAGTAAAAATTGTACACGAAGTATTAGACTATCTGCAATGATAAGGGCCAAATCCTACCCAGCTCTCCTCAGCCCCTCCCCCATTTAGGGGAGGATAATGTCTCATACAAAACTTTAACATATGGGCTTGGATTTCAAATAATGAAACAATGAGAAATGCAGAAATATCAAATGAGATCACAAAAAAAAAAAAAAACCAAAAAAAAACCAACAAAAAAACCCCAAAAAACAACAAGGACTAAAATGTAATGTAAGAACACAAGTAAGACTGGTAAAATTCTGTGCTTTCCCTCCTTAACACCCAGGAGCTGGAAATAAATGTTACATTCAGAGAAGAGATGCATGTGAGAAGTCTGAGCTTCACATCACCCCACACAAATTAATACAATGTGAGTGCTGCAACTAGTGATACTCTGAACATCACTTTTGCAAACAAATACTGTCTTTCAACACAGCCAAACTCCAAATGGAGTTGGTAATACATAACTCCAAATCTAGAAACATGTATTTTACATTCAGAATATCAACAATTACTGCACATTAGATTATAGAGGGACTTACTGTACTGCATCTTTTTCCTTGAGATTTTTTTGATTTTTTTTCTCTTCAATAAAAAATATTACTTTGGGCATAAAACTTTCAAGACAGGCTTAGGGATGAAGAAAAACAAAAAAATTGAACGTATTTTACTTCTCCCAACACCTAGAAAGAACCCAAAACATTTTCAGAATTTTATTTCAATTTGAAGTTAAGGAAGCAACTGATTGCATGTGGTTTTAACTCTATCAACTCAATTAGAATGGAAATAAATGGACAACATCTTTCAGCTCAATTTTAAAATCAGAAGCCTGGAAACTTCTATCAAGTGAAATCTAGGTCTTTCTGAGTAAGTGTGCTAGTGTTCTGTTTGGAATCACTTCTATTTAAGTTCTGGACAGAAAGTGAATGACAAAATGAAGTACAAATAAGGATAATTTATTACATTTTATAAGGAATTCATTAGAATATTTACAAAGCTCAAGTCAGGAAGATCAGTCTTTTTAAATAATTATTTTATTTAAGACATTTTCTTTCTTATTGCTCTCTTGCTCCGTGATTTCTTTTTTCTGCCTTCAAACACAGGTTTGGCAGTCACCATGACTACATTTCCCAGGTCTTCATCCTCACCACTTGAACTACTGCACCCTTTTTTCTCTTTATGGTCTGCCATCTCTGTTGCAGAGATGTTTTTCCTCCTTTTGCTCTTGCCTAAATCTCTGCCTTTGGATTCCTCCACTGAGGAGTCACTAGAAGTTTCTGAAAGATGCAAATTTCCAATAAAACCACCTCCATATAAAAATTCTTTTCTGGAATCTGAATGTTTTCTTCTCTTTCCACTCTGTACTTTTGTTGCTGCAGCTTGATTTGCACCACCTGTGGTACCTTGCCCTTTCCTTTTCCCAGGCTGTTTAAGCTCTGTCTCCGTGACAGCAGCAGCCTCCTGAATTTCATCATCTGCTTCCTTTTCCTTTCTCTTCAGACAAGTCACGGCTCTGCGCAGTCTCTGGCTTTTAATAGCTTGTTTTTCATGCTGTTCTAGTCTGAAGAATGAATCGATTCGAAGCTGAGTCTATCAAAATAAAACAGAAACACAGTTGAATGTTTTTGTGGGAATTCAGTTGTTAGCTATATTATAAAGCACCTGAAATTAAAGCAGGACAAAGGAGTAATGAAATTGATACATATGCACACAGATGTGAACAATAAGACACATCATTACAATAACACCCATAGTTTATAATAAATTAGGCAACAAGAACTTTTACAGAAATTAATAATTAGCAAACTCCAGTGAGATTTCATAAATATTGCACTGTTGGTGATTAGACATATGTTGCTATTGTCAACCCTAATACAGAGAATCTCTGTAGTGCTCTTAAGTCTGTCCTCACAAACACATCCTTAGCTTCCAGCTGTGAAAGCAGAATGTTTACTAAGTAAATGATGTAAGTGCACTTCACATTTCTGCCTCCGAGTGCAAGAACACGCAGGCGTTTGACTCAGGCTCATTGCACCACATGCTGCTACAGAATAAAGACTGAAGAGTAGAACTAACAGTACTCACACAGTGTGGATTTGTGCTATTCAACCACAGCTAGGCTTTTTGTATAGGCTAAGCCAGTCCTCTACTTTATCCCTAACATTGCCTAGGAGAGACAGATTCTTCCAAAGGATATTCCAGTCAACCTGAAAGTATATGTATATAATTACAGGGCTTTCACTCCACTCAGTGACACAGAGAACGTAGAACACTGATTTAGACAATGTATCTATCTTGTGTATGGCAAGAGGAAAAAAGAATCTAACATTGGGGATCAATTTTACAAACTACTTCGACAGCTACCACAGTGGGCATCACCATTCACTTTCAAGTGTTAATAAAGCTGACAGAATATTTACTTGGAAATTAGAGTACCATTACTAATGGGCACTTGCTCAACAGTTCAGTCCGCACTCTTCTCAAAGGATGTGTACAGAAACAAATGGGCAGTATCACTCCACCAAAACCTCAGGGGCACTCTTATATATACTTTATGAAGTGTTTATGGAACACTGTCTTCTAGAAGTACTGAAGTTGCTTGACGGGTACCTGTAGCTTGACTGTGTCCAGAAAAAACAGCAGCCTGGACTTAAGATGGGTGCTTGATAGGTAAGGAAATTTGAAACCAATGTCAGAAATTATGCAGAGTCCCTCACAGCATACTCAAATCATACAGAAATGAAGTCTAAAGAAGCAAGCTTAGTGACTTTAAAAACCAAAGCCCAGCTTCTGAGAAAGACATTTTACTTCAAAGCCTTGCTGTTCTTTTTAAAATGCTTTTCTCACAATTTTCCTGTTACTCTTAAACTATAGGTAGATTTTCACCTGCTGCAAGTTCAGTTGTTTCATCACAGGCAAAAGGATCCCATCTATCTTTGTCCTAGTCCAGCCAAAGTGATCCTTGCAGAATGTGCAGAAAGTTAAGGAACTTGACAAAATGGCTACTACTGGTATTTTGCACACACATAAAATGAAAATTCCTGAAGTAAACGATGTCGAGGAAAGTTGCTCCACTTCAAAGCTTTTTCTACTACAAAATCAGACAAAAGACTCTCAGTTAAAACAACATATCACAATCACACTGCTCCATCTCCATTAGTTGCAGAACTTTTTCTCTAACATCAACATTTCCAAAAGCATGTCTCAGTGAAGACAGAACTCATTTTGCTAAATGGTATTGCCATAGCACAAAATGCCTATAAATATGCCTTATTTTTACACTTGTACCTTAGAGAAGTTTCATTTACTATTTAAAACACTATTAGCTCTGCATTTATTGCCATCTACTTTTCAACAGTTTGCTGCAGCTCAGACTACAACTGAAGCAAGAAGTAGACGTTATTGGAAGAAACACAAGGAATAACTAGGGTTAAGTGCACACTGAAACACCATTTCTGTCTAGACTTCAAGACTTATTTGTGAAAAAGGGCAAACATTCCAAGAGAGTGTGCAAACAATCCCACTTAAAGAGCAGAAACAGGCACAGGACAGTTACAGAAATATAATATCACAACAAACTAGTCAGTTCAGCTACAAGATTCTCTTTGCATGCAAAGTGAGGCAGCCCACTCTATCAGGAGGGCAAGCAGCCCTGACTGCCACACATGCATGGCTGCATCCCCTTCTATTCCAGAGCTGGTATCATTTTAGGGGAGCACATACTATGGGCTTGGGGCCCCTCACAACAAAGAGATGTTAAGAACTTGACACTCCATTACTGACTCCTTATGAACTTTTGAGTACTTTCACCTAACAAGTAAAAGGATATTCTCTGATCTGCTCAACATCAGGCTTTCCCCAGATGAATGAACCCCTTGACTCATCCACCACAGGCTTCAGGTATGCTTCTGCCACTGCTGGATTTGGGAAACCTGAATAAAGCTGCAGATCCCGCAGTTTCTTCTTGACTTTGGTGTCATGTGGATTAGGCATCACTTTCTTATTCTTCTGAGCTTCATTCCACCACTCACTGAAAAACAGAGAAAATTATTAATCTGCCTCATAAAATAAAATTTGAAATATCAAGAGCCACCATACTAATTTCAATGGCCTTAGTCTCCCTACTTCAATTACTACAAGAGATGATGTACAAAACATCCAAATGAAAGATGGCCAAAGGGCATTAAAAAAAAATCTTAAAAGCAGAAAAGACAAAACATACACATTAAATGCAGCTATTGTAAGCCAAAGCAGCAAATATCACCTGGATTCCCCATAAGCTGCTAATGAGAAGGCCCCAGTTTTAGCCTCACTTGCAGAGGATGTTCCACACACAATGATCATTTTTAGAGGGTTTTTGGTATGCAAGGAAAAGAAAAAAAGACTTCTAACTATCCTTGCTATAGCCAATACAGCTGCCTTAGCCCTCTTCAGATCTTGTTCTTGCCTACACCCTACCTGCCTGCCTCCTTCCACGTCATTCATTCCTCAGTCAAGTCCCCTCTCTCTATGAGCAAAATACAGCAACCTCCCACCAAACCAGGGAGAATGAACCTCTGCTCCACTATGGATCCACCTCTCCAATAAACTCTGAGGCAGATGCACAATTCTACAGCTGTTCTGCTGTCTTTGTCTCACTGTGATTGCTATATCAACTTGTCACGTCATCTACCTGTCATTCCAAATAGTGACATAATGGAGTCATGTTTTACAGCCTACTTAGTCCCATTAATGATGCTCCCATTAATCAATGATGGTCATATGTTTTGCTGCATACTTAAGCATCAGAAAAGCACATTTACTAATAATCACAACATGGAGATCCAAAAAAGCAAATCATATTGAAGCATACGCGAATTTTATGAGAGGTTCCAAGCCATGCCCAGGAAATTCATTTAAAATCTCCATCGCTGTTACAAAGCCAACATTTGGGATGCCCTCAGTGTAGTCACTTCCAAGCAAGTATGCCAAATTAATTAGCTTACTTCTGTCCAACCCTGAAAAAGAAAGTGTATGGATTCAGTATCTATTATCTTACAAAATAAAAAATATTATCAGAAAGGCAAAAACTGAAAGGAACACAAAGGCATTAACTCCATAAAATTATATTTAATTCAACAGCAGCATTTGCTAAGTTATATTCTGGAGCAGTATCAATATACTCCTGTGCTAGCTCAAGCACTAATAATTGTGCTAATTTGGCAAATATATCTTGCCAAAATGAAAATGTTACAACGGACATCAGGAGGCATTTTTTTCATGGAAATGATTGTTAAACATTAGAATGGACTGTGCAGTAAGGTGGTGGAGTCACCATCCCTGGAAGTGTCCAAGAAACAACTGGATGTGTTACTCAGTGCCATGGTCTAGTTGACAAGGTGGTGATCAGACAAACATTGGACTTGATGATTTCAGAGATCTTTTTTTTTTCTCAGAGATATTTTTCCAACCTAAAAATTCTTTGATTCTGTAATTTCATGCCATTCAAATTCGGGGTTGTTACAAGATATTTTTTTACATTTATTACATCCAGTTACTGTTCTGTTTTCATTTAATGCTGACCTGAATTGAGTAATGCCAGAATCAAATAAAATCATTCTGTTTGAATTCTAGTCCATAATACCAATGCCTCTGCTTCCTAGAAGTGTTCCTCAACTGGTAGCCTTTTGCTCTGTGCTAGTACAGTTACTAAGTACACCAGAAGAGCTTGTGAAACAGCCAGAAAGAAGGAAGAACTCAGCTGACCACTTCCACGTGATAGGCTGTAAGGTCTGAGGCAACCATACTGACTTTTAGTGGCCACCTTCAAGAGTCTGGATGTGAAAAAAAAAAATTAAAATTCCATGCAGCAAAGGAGGGACGTGAGTCTAAACACGCAAAGCAAGACCATCATTATGTTAGTCATGACATCCATCAGCTGTCCAGACAGAAGAATTTCTGCAATGCATGGGAAAGGAGAAGCACAAGACTGATGATGAATATTTTTTCCCAATAAATAAATAAATATTTGGCTTATCACATTAAAACCAGTTAAAAATCACAGACGTGAAATCCTTTCCAATTAAGCCACAGTAGCATACTTAAGTAGGGCAAAATTATTTCATTCAATTTGCTGGAAGAAACCAAAGTTACATTTTTCATCACATAAAAATGTTATGAAATTTTACATGCTACTATTTCAAAGTCTATAGCCTCTCAAATTGAAAATGTCAAAACTGATTTTAAAAGAGTTCTGCTCAAGACATAATAACAAGTTTAAATTGGCTCATATTTTGCCTAATACTTTATGTGACACTGAAGCTTAGTAGTTCAACAAAACTGAAAACAATTTGATTAGACTAGCTCAAGAGCAATCAGACAGAAGAAAAAAATCTTTCAGTGTCAACTATATGCTAAATATTTTACACATATTCCAGAACCACTTTTAATATATTACATCTCAATACATCCAAAACTAACTTCTATTTCCAGAAGACTAAAAATCTGATGACATCAGAATATAATTTTCCCACCACATGAGAAAATGCATGCTAAAATTTACCCAGAAACTGGTATAATAGTTCATATCTCCAGCCTTGGTGATCTTTACACTCAGTATATCAAATGCAGGTGGTCTGCAAATTCAGGGGGGTCATCTGACAGTAAAACAGCAACCTAACTGAATGGCTTTAGAGACTCTCCAAGGAACAGACACTGAATAAGAGACACAAAATTCTGTAGAAAATACAAAGAGACAGATGCCAGAGCTGTCTTATTAAAGACTGTGTTTAACAAATCAATACCTGAGTCATACCTAGCTCGTTCTGAAAGTCAACATACTGATAATATTCTACGTATTTGTTCTGACTGAAGAAATTTTTATAAACATGTCGTGCACCAAACAACCAAACATCACTGTCATCAGTGATTGTCCCAGAGGTCTGATCAGTAAGGTCCAATATTGCACACTGTGCCTCGGCCTCCATCGGAGCTTCGATATATGGAATGCCAAACAGACGGAGAAGCTCCTGGAGGATGGAAGGAAAACAGTTAACAATTCATCTGAAAAGTTAACTTCTAATGCACTTGTGTTTGACTCAGAACTGCTAGATTCACACTTGGGAGCTATTTAATATTTGACAACAAACCTCAAACTTCCGGTGAAAAGTGCCAAGCTCAGTTAAGTCAAGGGGGAATCCCCACTCAACTCCTCTCAGGCAGACAGTGCCATATAAGTCAAGCACTACTTGAGCACACTTTTACCACACAGTTTGAGAACCTGCCATCTGAATTACACAAGCATACTTAAGTGGTTTTTTGCACAGCAAGGAGAAAACTCCATGCATTACAATTATGTGGGCTCTGTGAAACAAAAATGCAGGTTAAATATAAAAAGTAAATTTTTTAAAAATCATATTAAAAAAAAATTTGGTCATCATTTCATCTAACAAAGCAGTATGAAAGCATATGAGAAACACTCATATCAAGCAGGAAACAGTGGGAAGACTAATCAGTCCTTGGACAGTGTTTTGATATGCCTCTATTTTGATGCATTTTTGCTTTTATGGGATTCATTACACAACCTCAGTTAAATATCCTACACACACTAGGTTTAGAGGCTTGTGCTAGTTACACAGGTCTGGATTATATTCTTCACTCAGATGGCTTTTGAGGCTTGACACAATCAGCCTCAAAACTTTAAATTTTTATTGTAATTAATAACAAAAGCACAAGATCAAAAGACTTACAACTATAATTGAGTGCATATGACTACATGGCATGTAATACTACAAAAGCAATCTACTGGCCTTAAAAAAAATCACCAGAAGAAACAAGCATGTGCAAATATTTAACCCAGATGAAGTATCATTATAAAACTACTTAAACTGTTCTATTAAGAAAAAAAAATACAGGCATTTACATATTTCTCAGAATTAATTTGTTAGCATAAGTTTATTAGAGACACTATCACTAAACTACTATATTATGGGTTTGCTAACCCAAACCTTGAAATACTGACACAGAAGTAACAGGCTTATGCTGGTGTTACTGGTGAGATTCTTTCAAATTGCTTACTCAGGGCATAAACTATACAGACTTCTTGTAATTTTTTAACATTTTAATCCCTAGGGGAAATACAGTTTACCTAACACACAGACTGCATCAATTCTTTGCTGCTGAACATAGCTTCCTAATATTTTCTGTTCATTTTGCACCTTTCACAAGAACAGGCCAAAATCTAACTGGCCCAGACTTTAAAAGCTGGTGCTTAAAAGATATACTGATTTATCCATAATTACACTATTATATTATTACATTTACTTAAAATAGTTGGAATTAAAGATTACCTCAACACTTTCAATATTTTAAAACAAGCAAACTGAAGAAAACAAGCTCCTAAGAGGGAAAAAATGTGACCTATAACCAAGCAAAATTACTGACAGCTTTTGACTAAATGACTGGGGTGAAGGAAGGAAACAAATCAAAATGACTCAGCAAATACTACCTGGCTTTCCAAGAACATCTGTCCTGTTACAGAAGCAGCAACACGTTCCTGCTGCTGTTTTTGAGACTGAAGTGTATTCTGCTCAGCAGAAAGGTCCTTTTCTAATTCTTCTAGTTCTTCCTGAAAATATAAACCAAAGTTTTTACTATTTCAACAGTTCAGGTATACTTTGCATAAAGTCTCTAACTACAATTATTGTAGTAGTACATGTGCCATTAATTCACACTAGGAAGTTGTTAACAGCTACTCTAATGCAGCAAGTTGTAAGACCAGAGATGGTCTAGTGATGAATTTACCTTGAAGTTTTCCTCTGATTTTAGGGAGATTATAATTAACCATCTTTAAAGAAGCATCAGTTCCCATACAATTAGACGGTTATGTGAGAAAGCAATGAAACAATAAGAAGCTGTTCAATAGTTTTCCTTAACTATTTGGAAACAAAGCACTCCATTACAAGCTCAAAACAAAAAACAATGTGTTACCAAACTGATGTCTTGCCATTCATCCACTGCACCTTTACTATCAGCTTCTGCTTCAACATTCTGAGTGTTTCCCAGCTGCACCTCATCAGACTCCTTCAGCAAGTCCAGTGTGCAAACATCAGGTCTGTCAGTCTCCACTTCTGCAAGTGTTGGCTCATCACCCCCTTTTTCATCATATTTAGTGGGAGACTCAGCCTCGTTACTGACCTCAGCATCCACTTCAATAAAGCTTCCTATCAAAGGAAAACAGAGACTTGTACACGCTTTTAACTCGGGCAGTAACTTTTTTTTTTTTCCTATATGCAGCAGATAAATATAAGGATTGTGAAATTACATAAATCAAGTGGCTGACTGGTTAACAAACCAGTTCCATTTGATGTACACAACATGCTTTCCTGACTCTCTATATTCTATACTCAGGTTTCAATGATAAAATGTGACACCAAGGAGAACAACACAGCTCAGATTTTCTTCTTGCCTGCTATATAGGGGGAGTGGATGCATTTTTAAGCATTTCTTACTAAGAGAAAAGCTTACCTTCATTGACTACAGATACACTATTGTTCTACTTTGTTATCCTTTCACACAATCAAAAAACACATACCATCAGAATCACTGTCTTCGGACTGTGATATCTCTTCTCTTTCTGCCTCGGGATCTCTTGCTTCTGGAAAAAATCTAGTATCCTCAGACACATTCTCCTCGGTTTGTGAAATTACTTCCTGTGTGTTTTCAGAAATTTTCAAGTTTTCCTTATTTTTAGAAAGGTCTGTTGTTTCAGTGTGAATCAAAGCATCTGTACTAGTTTGCACAATGGAACAGCTTGGCTTCTGCAAACACAAATTCATATTCTTATCTCCCAGAGATTTTAAGTCCATTTTGGAACCATTTTTTTCTTCGTCAAAGTCTTCTTTATCCTTTCTAGTATTGTTAACATAAGAATAATTTTCAGCTCTGGATATACTGGTATCATTTGGTGAAATATGATTTTTGGAACCACCTTTTTCCTTGTCTACCTCTTCTGTGTCTTTTATAGTATTGTCAATAGAAGTTTCAGCTATGGATATGCTGGTGTCCTTGGGTACAATATGATTTCCTGAATCATTTTCTTCTTTGTCTATATCTTCTCTGCCTTTTCTAGTATTTCCAATAGCAGAATAATTTTCATCTCTGAATACACCTGTGTCTTTGGGTATAATATCACTTTTTTCCAACTCCTCACTCTTCTGTTTAGATTTAGCATTTTGCATAGTCACTTGGATTGATGACGGAATTGTAGCTGTAGGAATGTTTTTTCCCTCCTTAACTACAGGAATCTGCTCTTCCTCATCTGAGCTACTAAGCAGAAAATCCTTCCCTTCTGGTCTTACTGATAGCACTCCACCAGTTGTAGCAGTTACAACTTCCTCCCCTTTATCGTCTTCACTCAGAGCTTGCTGAATTGCCCGCAGTGTTCTTGGAGACACGCTGCCTTCCTCTTCCCTGTTCAATTGTCCTGTGTCCAGTTCTTCTTCTGAGCTGCTTTCCACCATGGCTGCTTGGATAGCAAGCAAAGTCCGAGGAGATGGGGGTGCTGCCACTACATTGTCATCTTCCTGTTTTGCATTAGCAGGAGATTCATTGATTTTATTTAATTTAGTCAATTCATGCATTTTTGATGAGGGTCCTGCAGTAGTTTCCAAGTTGCTACTCATAGCCCCTTTTGCCTGAATACCTGAAAGAAAGTTTTGTGTGGAAAAATACTGCTTTATAAAAACATTCAATTTTACATAATGAACATTATTATATAAAGATTATTAAACCACTTTTTTACACATCACAGTTAATGACATATAACAGTAATGCACATTTCATATAAAGTACTGGCTAGGTGCACCAATAAACAATATTCAGGTTTGTCTTAAAACTGCCAGTTTTAAGTGTGCACACTCCAAACAACAGGTTTTACAAAATTAAGACCCAACATACCCTTTATCAGAATATAATGAGAAGTCTCTTCAGAGACCACCCTCCTTGATTCCACTTCTTTCACAAAACCACCTTCATTTTCATATTGTGTTTGGATTTCACCCGAGTGCTGTTGATTCATTTCTTTTTGTACATTTTCTATGCACCGATTGAGGTTGCTTTTTTTAAGCAAACCCCTGAGCTGGTACTGGGAAAAGTCATTGGAGTCCTCAAAAAAAACAAAACAAAACAAATTAATTGAAATAAAACACCCCTTTTAAGCAAATTCATCTCCCACATTCTAGAAGAGTGTGGGAACTCTTGAAAGAGTTCTTTTAAGCAGCTAACATTTGTCTTTCACTGGCTGCTGGACTCCCAAGCAACAGCAATACTATTCTGGCAACATACAACGATTCTGAAAGGTACCAGTAGTTCTCAGTACTGAAAAACATCTCAATTTTGGTTATCAGAGCTCATCTCCATCTTAAAAAGAAAAGCAATTAAAAGAGAATCCATGTGTGGATCATTTTAAAATGATGGTTCTTAGCTTACACTTGGACACAAGCCATCATTTAATCTGATGTATATTGTACTTTCAAAACCTCACTGTAGAAGTGGTACTGTAGGATTCCCCATTTGTGTCTCAACAGCTTCAACACATCTGCCTAAGTTACAAAAGCCTTTTCCCAGCTGCCAGCTCCTCTAACAACCTCAGGGCTTAGAATTCAAGCTGCATTAATCCTGCCTGGTTCATCCACACCAGTAGCATGTTAGGCAATCTTCGGCATAATGCTGATGAGGCGCAAAACACAGCACAATTTTTAATATTTTTGCCAAACTGAATTAGCTCTGCTAATTTTAGTGGAAATCAAGAGATAAGTCTGTTAAGAGTGATTATCTCATTGGATTTTTTTTCTCCTCACAGTAACAATCCAGGTGTAAAGGTTTCCATATGTAGTACTCTTTCTTTATTTGCATTAATGGCAACAGCTCCATTCCAATGCCTTGAAAGCTATTTTAAATATTACCTCTGGCATTGCTTCAAATAACGTTCTTCTTCGCTTTGTAAGTTCTTTAATATCAGTCAAGATCTCATGTTTTATTTCTGGAGGCAGCTTGTGGAAATCTTCTGATTCAATATCTATAGAATAAGGATTTTCACATAACTGTTCCTATAAAAATGGAGAATAAGAATACATATTCTATATTACAGCACAACAAAAATAATAAAATATTTAGAGCATCATTCCGAGCAAGATAAAAAAATCAACCCCTCAAGAACTTCGTTGCTACTTCCCACATAGTGAAGAAAATAAGAAAAAAAGAGTAACTACTAAGTAACAAAATAATGCTAAGTACCTCATTATTGATGTACACTATACAGAGAAACTTGGTTTTATTCTTTTTACAAAAAGATACTCAGTATAAAACACAGAACCAGGTCATATAGCCTCAGCTACTCAGATTTTGTTCTTCTAAAGAGGTTCTCCTTCTGAATGAGAACTGCCTCAAAGACAAACAATCTTTCCAACAATGTTTCTTTTTTTTCCCCTATTGATGAATGCAGAATTAATTTTATCATTTATTATGTCTTTTTCTTAGGTTATGTATTTCTCTTTTCCTCTTCCAATCAAATCAGCACATCAGAAGCAAATACAGAATTTATCTGTGAAAACACAAGGACTCAAGTGCTTCAGCTTCAGTTCACATTTGGAGAAGCACAGGAGTTTTGTTAAATATGCTGTTATTTATCTATATACACATGCACAAATGCAAGAATTTCTCCTGCATTGTTACAAAAACCAATGTCTTCTCCGTATGTTCAAAGGAAGTAGCAAAAGGAAAAAGAAAAGCTATCACAAGAATTTTCTGTTCTGCTGTATTCTAGTGGAGAAATCACATTTCTATTTCCTCGTTAATTGGAATTCTTAAAAGTACTGAAAATTAACTTGTTTTGTTATAAGTAATGCTATAATAAGACCTGTATCTCCAAATAATTGGATTTTATAAGCTTTTTGCTTGTCTTTTAAGCACAGCAAATGAATGAGAGGATTGTTCACAGTAACGAGGCAACTAAGTTACACTTACTTGCAACATCTGTTTTTGGCTCATTCTCATTTGCCATTCTTTTTCTTCCTCCTCCTCTGAGCTAAAAATCACAAAGAGAAAACAAATGTGTAGATATTTATCCAGGAAAAAGTTTATATTTTAAGCAAAAAGACATTAGTCATGCCTTTGCTGGTCAAGCACAAAAATTTACAGCATCAAACACAATATAAATACGTACACAGGTCATAAAGACCTGAGCAGAAAGTAAAAAGGCAAACTTTTGTCAGTGAAAACTAGATGGAGACAACAGCTGCTGTTTAGATCATGACACAATTCTTACTTGGTCAGCATTTGAAGTATATAAAAGTAGAGATGTGCAAAGAATAACCTACAGGGCAGCTTCACATTCTCAGTGTTATTTAAGAAGATGCCACAGGTGTGACAAGTACAGACAAAGCCTGTCTCTGCTGAACATATCAAAACAAAACAGAATCAAGCTGCCACACCCAAGCTTGAACAATCAGTCCCATTTAGTTGTATAGACATGGCCATAGAGACTGGTAGAACTTTCATCCTTATACATGAATCCAGTGTAGAAATTTAAACTGTGGGCTGAAAGTTTCTTGTGTTACTTTCCCATAAATAACTAGGAAGCTTCTGTATACAAAAAGAAACTGAAATAAAATATAAATTAAATAAATATACTTTATATATATATTACAGTGTCTCATAGGTCAAAGGCCTTAAATCAGCATAAAGAAATGTGGCTTATAATTTTACTCAAGTTTATTAAAAACCATTTAATCTTTTTTTTTCTTAATTCTACCTACCTATTCTTCTCTTCATCCTCTAAAGCAGGCAACACATACATATCATCAATTCCTTCTCTTCGAACTTGTGTAATACTGGGCAAAGCTTCATTGCTTAGGGAGAAAAAAGAAAAAATAAAACAGCAATGAACAGCTTCAGAAAGACTTACTGTCACTTATAAACAAGGGAAAAATAATTTTTATTCTTGCCTTTTGCCTGCAATAGCAGTTTTGATAGCATGTCTCTTCAGAAGTGTTTTCAAGAGTTTCTCTGTAGTTTTCCTGGAATCATTGATGGCAATTTCCTTTCTTTGTCTTCGCTTAGCCTACGAAAATAAGATTAACACCAAGAAGATTTTGCTGGATGATGAAGATGCACATCCAGTGAATCCCTGTTAAAATTCTGTGTGCTGAGCCTATGAGCTACTTCTAATTCATTCTACACCAAGGGTGACAGAGCCTTCAGAGCCTCTAAATCTATGTCCATTTCCTCTGTGGGCCTCAGAAGCAGCATTTCAGCTTCTGGGTACAAACATCAGCAGAGCTGCATTCAGGTCCATTCTGGAGGTCACAAGCCAGGCTTGTGCCATCATCCACTTCTCTGCAACCTGGCTCCCATGCAAATCACACCTGCCTAAATTAAAGAGCTGATGCATGCTCCAAGAGCTAACCCAGGTGGGACTGCAAAGGACACCCGCAGAACAGTGGACTGCAATCCTCCATCCCCACAGCTCAGAAACATAAGCAGAACAACAGGAAGGAAACTGAAAATGGCAGATTATCATCAGCAGACATACAGCCACTTTTACATTGCAGTAACTCACAGAGGTACTTACCAAGGTTTGTCTCTTCAGAAGAGGCGCCTCTCCATCAAACACAAACACGGGTCGAATCCGGAAAAACAGTAACTTGCAGAGTCGATGAAACAGAGTGAGCAGGTGAGCATTCCGTACAGAAATGCCACCACGATCTCTGGCTCCCTTTATTGCTTGGTTCAACCAAATACTGATATCTTAAAGAACCGTTGAGAGGAAAAAAACGTGCTCTTTTACACATATACCACATTGGGAGTTCCTATAAAGTGCACAGATTTGACTGAGTGGCTTTTGCCCATGGCTCCAAGCTTGTCTTATCAAAACCAAGACTATCCAAATAGCTTTGAACTTGGAAGAAAAAAAATCATTGCCCATACTGCCCTGCACAAAAAGCAGAGTGTAAGCAAAAGCACAGCAAATACCTCCCCAGTTATTTTTACAGGTAAGTGATGGGTAACTTCCTTCCACATCTTTCCAGCATTTAACCAAGTATACAGGACAGGAAAGCTGATGCATAAGCATACAACTTCTTCATCTTATAGTCCTACTGAGAGCAGCACATTTATTTATAAAGTACAAAGTTCTATAGTCCAACACTTGTGTAAGGAACCTATTAAAAAAAAGGCAATTTTTTTAAAGAAGAAAATAAAAGACCTTAGTAGTTCACATATTATAAAGCAAAACTTCCACTTACCAAAATGTAGGCCATGCAGCCCCGCGGGCCGCCGGGAGTCGCCGTGCGCGGGGCGGAGCCGGCGCAGGCCCGGCCGCCCACACACCCTTCTGCAGCTGCGGTTCCTGGGGCTGGTGGGCTCCTCGGCCGCCCGGAGGAGAGCCTAGTACCTAACAGCAGAGAATAACAAAATCAATTATGTTGGAAAAGATCTCTGAGATCATCGAGTCCAACCTGTGACCGAACATCCCTTGGTCACTAGACCGTGATCTAAGTGCCACTTCTAGTCTAAACACTCAGGGACGGTAACTATACCAGCAAATTGGGCAGTCCCTTCCAATATCTGATCACCCTTTCCGGGAAGAAATTCCCTTATGTCCAGTCTAAACCTCACCTGGTGCAGCTTGAGGCCATTTCCTTTAATCCTGTCACTTGTTACCCGGGACAAGAGGCCGACCCCCACCTGGTTACACCTTCCTCTCAGGTGGTTGCAGAGTGATAAGGTCACTCCTGAGCCTCCTTTTCTCCGGGCTAAACAACCCCAGCTCCTTCAGCTGCTCCTCACAGGACTTGTGCTCCAGAGCTTTTACCAGCTCTATTGTCCTTTTCTGGTTGGAGAATGGAAGAAGTCTCTTGTCCCAGAACAAAATCTCACAATGCAGACCAAAAGTAGCCCTATTTTTCCCACTCCCAAACATGATTTCCCCTGCAGCCTTGTGCTCTCTCTGTTCTGCCTCAACCACAGCCCCAGTGCACCCCACCATCTGGGAATCCCTAGGGAAAGCTCCCTGCAGCACAACCCCAAGGACATGCACTTGGATACTGCTAATGCTAGAAGAATCCATATACTACATACTTTGTGGATAAAGTGTGACAGTCTCCAGCCCAAGAGGAAAATAAATGTAAAACCAGAATTTCATCCCAACCTACTTAAGCAGAACAGTCAACTACCATCAGAGGAGAGACCCTGTTTCTCAGTGCAACTGTGACTACCAAGCAAAAGTTAAGAGACACACATGGAACTCTGGCTATGTAAGTCCTAAATCCCCTAAAGAACAGAGCTCAAGTACTCTAAACTTGAGCTGAGCCCTCAGCCCAAACTCAGCTTGCAAAACCCGGGGCTGAAAATAGCTCATCTGGAAAATAAAAGTTCAAAACCTATGGGTTTTGTTCAGTCATGAGGCTGCAGGCTTTGTGAAATTAAATAGAAGTCACAGTGGCTGCACCGAGCACCACTTTTTATGATCCCATGGGATCTTACCTATTTTACTAAGTAGTAGTTGCAACTCTGATCTGTCGCTCACCTACTTTACAGGAGACCTTCACTAAATGCAGGGCCATCATTTCCAAAACAAATGAAAAGCAAACAAGATAGAAAACAAATTTTATTGAATGAACAAAAGTCTAAAAGTCTCCCATTTTTGGTTAACAAAAGCAGCAACCTACAAAACCCCTGCATTCCATGACAAATCTTTTTATGTCAAAAAATTAATCCTTGAGCAGGTGTGAACATTTGTACACAGAACAATACAATTGTTGAGATGTGTTTGGGCAAACAACTGGATTTATCAGGGAAAGAGAAAAAGAAAAAGGAAAAAAAAGAATTCACCTGGGACACCTGAAAAAGCTTGAATTGTGTGCTGGCTGAGAGGTATATCATCGGGGCTGCCAGCAATTTTCAGCACTTGCATCCCCTTCACACAAAATGAAAAAAGCAGCAGACAAAGGACGGAGATTAAGACTGAACAAGGAAAAGAACTGCCAACAGAACTCAGTGTTCAGCTAGCTCATTTGGCTAATGGTAAATGCAGCTTTTAATACTGAATTTCATAAGCTTGTGTTAAGTGAGTCCATGCTCTCAGGCTCCAGGGCAAGAATTCAGCCACTTTACCCACAGAGCAAAAATAATAGAGAAGTTCCATCCTCAAACAGGTGATTCCTCACAGTCAAAAACAGGCAATCAGATAAGGGAAAAGAAACTGAGACCTGCTTGACAAGATATGATTATCTGACTGATAGAAGTCAAATAGGAATTAAACGGAGAATGTACATTCTCTTTGTAAATCCAACAAGGTTTTCTAACCTATGTGATCTTTTTTTTCATTTGCACTGGATATGGGCAGCCATACTAAAATGAAGTGCTAAAAACAAAGGCAATGTTTACTTTTATCCTTACACCATTTGCAGAATAACCCTTTTTTTATATTGCCATACCATAATTTTTCATGCTTTTGAACAATAAATATATTCAATGAAGTTTGTTTATTACATTGAGTCATTTCAACCTGCTCTTTTGTTTTCACAGATCAGGACATAGTACAATTATTTCAAAAGAAATGATTGATTTTGTTATCGTGTTCACCTTTGATTGCAAAATTACAACAATCTGTGCTTATCTGTCACTTTATACATCAGATCTCGTCTATCTATTACAACCATATCAACATATTTAATAATTATGAAGCTGTATCTTATACCATAATTTCTATTCTTATGTGTTCTAGGACTAATCAATCCCTAATATGTTTTGATTAAAACTAACTTTAATATATCAACTCTATAATCTAAAGTTAATTTTAATCATTTCCATCATAATCATTGTAACTCTGATACCCACTGTTCCTCCTCTCCCGAAGATTAGATTTCTTCCACATGGATTCTTGATGAAAACTAGCACTGAAAGATCGACCCAGTCGCCCGTGTTGTTTCTTAGATATATTGTCTTCACTCTCAGATTTGGAAATTCCTTGTCCTTGTGTTTGGGATTGTTTATTCTGTCTAACATTCCCAAATGGAAAATTCCAAGGACCAAATCTTTGCCAGTTAAGTCTCTGAAAGGCAATGATGCAATGAAGATTTCCTCCAACCTAATCAAAGTAAAAAAAGTTATTTGTTAAATGCCACAGGCACATCTCTAACATACATAGATATTTGACATCAACATTTTGGCAAGTAACATGATACTTTCAAAAAGAAAGCAAACAAGAAGTGCCACAACACACAAACCAGGAAAAAAAAAAAAAACAACAACAAAACACGACAAAATCATATACAGAAATATACAACTTGCATCAATCAGTTCTGATTATTTCCCAGTTCAATTACTACTTGCTATTCATCTCTTCCATATTTTTAAGCTATCAATTATATCCTTCATGGGCCAGTATCACTTATCTTCTGCTAGTCTTTTTTGACTTTCTAGCTATCTTCTCAGTAATTATCTGTTCTGGTTCATACTGATCTTGCTGACACAGTCTTCCATAGGGTCTTCACACCTGAAATCATCTCTTCAGTCTATTATTTCTCACAGTGTTTCAATCTGCAAATCACAAACACATCCTCCACCCATGAGATACAGCCCTATCTATAGGAAAGAAAGCCACATGCATTGACAGTAACTCCACACAAGTGAGACACACACATTCATTTATGCCTGATCCTAGTCAATTGTACTTTCTTTCCCACTTAAATGTCGTTGGAGGGCCATACCCCAAAGGGTCTGTAATTTGTCTGCAGAACATTTCTATACTTGCTGCAGCTACATTTTAAACCAACAAAGTTAAATATTCTGACCAAATACATTCTGTATACACAGATATCCTGGTTCATCCTAGCATATACCAAGCTACTAATGTTTTATATCTTGTCCAGCAAGTAAATCTAAATGACTTTGGTATGCAAGAGCCCACATTATACTTCTGTCTTCAGCAATGCTTCACAACAGAACAAATTCCTTTAGTGAAGTCATCTTACACTGATGAAGTATGAGTAAGTTTGCAAAAACCTACCATGAGTTTCCTCCCCTCTTAGGAAGTTTACCTTACCTTCTTTGTTTTTCGATGTTGCAATCCTCTCTCTAGGTGTCGAATATCTAGATATTCTGGATTTTGAGTGTTTAGGTCAGTGACAATATCTGTCCACCTACAGAATAAAATCATTACTGCTCAGCTGATATTTATGAAACCTCAGCAGCACAAAGACTCACGTACACATGCATGCAAATACAGACCTGTAGCTTTAAATAGTCTTATCAGTGATTTAAAGATAAGTGAATGTGTAAAGTTACAAAAGCCTCAGTATTAAAGACATCAAGCTAGACGCAAAAGTGTCACTTTTAATCAAAGCATTAACAGTGATCATCCCTGCTCTTGGGAAACACCTTCCAAAATTAATAAGAGCACCATGAGTCATAGTTACATTCCTTACACTTAGCAATTCATCAGTTTGGAAAAGAAAGAAGCAAAGTGTGGTTTAGGCAAGGAGATACATTAGCCTTTTTTAAATTTAAACCTACCCTTTTGTATTATTTTGTTTGGTTCCTTGGTTTCTTTTGCACGTTAAATGGGCTGACATTAGCCTTTTTTAAATTTAAACCTCTCCTACCCTTTTGTATTATTTTGTTTGGTTCCTTGGTTTCTTTTGCACGTTAAATGGGCTTTTACCAGACAGCTTTCATCATAACTCACTCCTACATTTTCTTTAATTCTAAACTATCAATTCAATCACTCCCATTCACTCAGCTTTTCAAAGATTCATAATTCCTTCCAGCCCAACTGAAACAAATACTTTCACATTCCAGACCTCTTTAAACTTGTACATCACCTTTTCATTTCTGTGAATGTCTAACTACTCGTTTCTCTCTAACATCACCTTCCAAGTTGAGAAAATGCATTTCTACTCCAACTTTTGCCCCCTTTCCTTAAGCACAGAACTTTCTGCCAGCTCTCACTGGGAGTGCAGCAGGAGGAATAATGTCTCCACAATCAAAATTAGTATTATAGAGGGTTTTATTATATATTCAGAAACTTTTTCCTGTGCCACTTGTAGCTAACATACCACACAACAAAGTTCTATCCTTGGGACCTGCAATATGCCATTTCTCCTATCATATGCATAATGTGATTTTAATTTTGTTGCACTTAATCTCATAGTCCAAAATATCCAGGTATTTGCAGTTATTGACAAGGTCACATTACTGACATAAAAAAATATTAAATATAACTAATCCATGATATTTCTACATAGCACCCTCTAGTTCTCCTAGTCTGTATGTCTAGTTTAGACACCAACTTTGTTTGAGTCAAGTGTACTGTTTCTCATCTTGAATGTACTGCTTGAATGCACAGATAAGCAAATAACACAACAGAGTACAGGCTGCACCTGAGCTAGGAGACTATTCTGTGCACAATCTCAGCAGCAGCAGAATATTCTGTGCACAGCCCAGACAAGGCCTGTGGATGTCCTCAGCTCCAGGGCAAACTCCTCCATGGGCCATGCAGACTGTAAGTCACAACTGGCACGATGACAGCTGAAACTGCCTTTTCTTCCTGACTAATATGAGCTGAGTCACACTCAAAAAAGAGATATGGGCTTTGGCTCTTGAAAGCCCACATGTGTTCTAACAGGTGATATAAAAGTGCAGAGCCAGCCTCGAGGTCAAAACACAAAGCTTCTCACTAAAGCAGCATCTGTTTCCATTAGATACATATATATACACATGTATATATTCATTCAAAAGAACTAAAAAGTCACTCAGTGACTCTGAGTAGAGAACTACAAACTGTTCTGAAAGAAAACATTCTTACCAAGTAACATACCTTTTACAATGTATCGTTGGATGCTTTCTGCTGGGCTCTCCAATTAAGATCCAATATTCCACTTCTTGCTGCAAGACACGACCTCTGTTCAAAAGAAGATACAATCCTAGTAAGATTTATTGTACATACTACAAAGATATTAGTCTCTTGTTCTTTTTAGGAGTTTCTAACATTTAAAACTGTTTCCTCAGCCAAACTAAAAACCAGCTCCTGTGCTATAGCGCTTGCAACTGTGTATGAGGAACCTTTTGCTCCACAAGGCCTGAAAGCAAACCTTGGGGATGCTTCTACATGTTATTTGAGAGGAAGACAGACTTTCACTAAAAGCAGATTTATTTGGATGAAAGACAGTCTGGTACATGATGTAAATATAAATATATAGGAAACAACAGAAATAAGAGTTGTGGAAAGCCACATAAATGTGGTACAAACAGCTTCCTCCCTATCTGTGATGTCTAACAGACATGAAAGAGTCACTTCCACTATTTTTAAACTACACCTTGGCTGACAGTTGTTACTAAGAGCTGTAGAGTAATCTGTAAGAACGAAACTGGCAACTTTAAATGCTTCCTTCTAAACATCCAATACCAGATACTAAAATCCAAACCTTTGAATTAATACTACTTTGCAATCAACTTCCAAGAAGCTCAAAGCTTGCAGTAAACTTGTCAAGGAAAATTTCTAAGAGGTATTAGGGCAAAACTGGCAAGATACAAAGGACTGTTCTGTGACTGGCTGTGCATAATTATTTCATTAAAAACTACATCAGTTTCAACTGTGACAAAACCTGACATTTTTCTGCCTAGGGTATTAGACAGCATACAGCCTTATTGTTTGGAACAATTTGTTTACTTTCAAAAAATTCCCTGTAAAATAACAAAGTATTCCATCAGTGCAAAGATGGGAAACCAAGACACAGGATAGATTGATTGACTTACCTAAAGTCACACTGGAAGTCTGTGGTTGAACTGGGAACTGAACCCAGGTCTCCCGAGTCCAAATCCAGCAACCTAAGATCATACAGGAAGTCTGTGGGTGACCTAAGAACTGTCTCTAAGCTCAGTCTAGCAAGCTATCTACCCACTTCTTTTGGGACCTAAAATGTTTCTTAGCCGGATTTTTAAATAAAAATTTTACTTTGTAAGTAGAGTGCAAAAACAGGTAAACAAGAACTGCTCCAGAATCTATTGGTAGTCCTTCTGAAAACTAAACTGTTTTTTTCCCCTCAGTAGGATCAGAAAAATCAAAGAAAACAGGATGCTCATTTGGTACGACCTCCAGCCTAGAGAAAGGCTATAAAAGCTTCTTGAACTTATTATTTCATGCTACATTGTTAGAAGAAAAATGTTGTTAAGAAAAAAAGATTATAGTAACTTAAAAATAACATCACTAGTAACTAAGAATCTATTTCAGCCATGGGTAAAGAATGAAAGTTGTTCTCACTCATTAGTAAACAACATAAATTTAAATTAGTTAAAAGGCATGCTATGTTTCCACACTCTGAATCATATTATTTCTCAGACTGGATTTTTGATCTAGTAAACGTTTTTTTTTTCACTTTGGTCTTCTAGTGCAGATTCTTCCTAATTGATTGAGTGAAGTAAGAGATTAACATTTTGGCAAACTCAAATAGACTGATGTGTTGGATTTCTACCTGGGGAATATTTTTTAAACTCTTCTCACAAACCTGACAAGTCAGTGAACTCAGTCTCAATAAAAAACTCTATTCTTTTGTTCATATATTAAAAGCTTTCATTAACCCTATCATAAGCTTCACACTAGGAACCAATTAGACTCAGATGATTATGCTTTATCACCCCAATCAATGACCACTTTAAACTCCAAAAGTAGAGCTAGCATTCTCTATTCCTTGATGTGACCCTAGCTCTTCAACAAAGTCAAAGTCAGACTGCTCAGCAAGCAAATAGGCAGAAGTTCACCTCATACTAGTGACCTACACTGCTCATTGTTTAACATTCCCCAGTTCTGGTATCTGCTATTTTTCTCAGGGATTGACTGCTGATGCTTTATAATACTAATACTGACCAATAGCTGAACACAGAGAAAGTCCAACAGAATCCTTTAATACACACCATGTTTGCAACCCCTCTGAGAGAGGAATAACAGCTTAATATGACTCAGTGAATGAGGTAAAACAAACTACTCTCCTCAAGAGAGTGCACAGAGTGCTCTACAAAGTACAGCACTCTGCATCAAGCAGCAAGGTAAATACCTTACAAAAGTTAATATGTATCTCAAGAATTAATATTTTCAAAGTTAAAATTTGTGGGTTTAATACAAGACTCTCCCCAAATTCCGTATGAATATTAGTGCTATTACCCTTTTTTTACATCTGTATTCAATTGAAAACTGTATCAGCTACTGCATTATATTATCCTAGTAGAGTCATTCTGACAAATCTGAAATTATTATACAGATATGAATATTAGTGCTATTACGCTTTTTTTTACATTTGTATTCAATTGAAAACTGTATCAGCTCATGCATTATATTATCCTAGTAGAGTCATTCTGACAAATCTGAAATTATTATACAGGAAACTGCATTTCTATTCTAAAAATAACTAGCATATTAAGCTTATACAAGTACTCCAGCATTTCAAGCATTGTTAAAAAAAGCCAAACCTAATATCTTAGCCCAAAGGTCTCTTCTAGCTTTTCTCCCCCCACTCCCTCCCAATTCCTGGTAACAAATTCTTCACACATCTTTACTTTTATATGCCTTACATGCCAGTAGTTGGAGTTTACCATCACCATTATTAGTCAATATAAATGCAACAAAAGTACGTAACCACCATCCTATGATATCTACACAACCTTTGCTATGCCATACTCAAGCACTGGTTTCTAAATGTAAATTTCATTACATCCACCTCATGAAGGATTAATATCACTGTAGACTTTTTGCTTCTAGTTTATAAAGGAAAATTGCAACATACACTTTGTTTTCCTTTTCAAGCTCTCTAGAAACAGATTCTCACTATAATTAGCTGGCCTTTTATTAAAAGCCTTAAAAAACACTCTACCTGGTCTTTTTCAGCCCATACAATTTCATTTTTCAGATTAGTTACCTTTGCTTGTCCTTCAATAAAATAACTACCTTCTCTCTACATGGCTAGAAGGTCTTAAAAACCAATTTGTTAATACCACTTAAGAGTTTTCTGATTTAAGTTCTCTCAATGTAGTCTGGTTAGTTATGTTTCATTTTAAGTCAGTCCTTTCAAATCACACTGTTGTGCTTTTCTAGCTCACACAGATGCCTATATGACACAAACAGAACCATTATTTATGGAGAAAAATTGTCTCAATTTGCAGTAAGTTTTTGTGTTTCTTCCACTAAAATAAGCATAAACACAGTATCTTACCTATAGGCTTTACTAGCTTTTACTGGGGTTGCTTCAAATCCAATTGGGCAAAAATAATGGTTTTGGCAATGGTAGATGTAGGCCATTGATTCGTCCTTCAGTCCACGTGTTAGCTTTGCTAGGGCCCCTGCAGCTACACAGAAAGATCAGGTTACAGGCCAGGGTGCTTTGGGTCCTGTGTAACACAGTCAGCAGAAAAAAAGACCTATTTGACAACTAAGTAGTTATACTGCTTTTTAAGTGGGAGGACATGACCTCACAGGCATGCACAAAATACACTTCTGATTTTGAACTTAGTACTTTTTTGTACCAGACAGGAAATTAAATACTATCTGCTGCATAGTCTGTACCAGGGAAATGCAATATAAAGTATGCTTAGTGTTTAGATCAGAATCAAACTTAATAAAAGGAACCAGAAGAATCTCTTAACCCAGGAAATACACACTGCAACAGAAGGCAGTCCCAGCTGCCCTATGTCACATGTGGCATATATTGATGATAATACTGAAACCACTGAAAACACTCAAACATTTTGTTTCATGAGCTTCCTAGTCTCAGGAACACACAGAGGCAATCAATGGTTTATAATGTGACCACAGTGCTCAGTTTCAGAAGACTAGAAGAGGCACGGGAACATGACAATTTTCAAGTGGGATGTCAAGAAAAAAAATCCATTTTAATAATATTTAAAACTTTTCAGCGTGATTTTGTGCTTTCAATAGAAGGTAATTACCCAGACTATACCTAAGGCTAGTAAACTGTGAAGGAAAGTAAAATTTTTTCAACAGGACACCTAAAAAGTAGACAAAAATGCAGCTTCATAAGCTAATTGAGAATAATCATAATAACTTTAAAGACAGATGTTAGCTACAGCCAAGCAGAACAGGTAAGTTCATTACCTTTAAAACTGGGCTTTTTAAAAGCATAAAACATTTAAGTAAGGACAAATTCTTTTTGTTCTCACAGTGGATGAGAGCAAAGAAATCTTCCCACACACCAACACAGAACTTGAAATGCAGTTGTTCTCCTGGATATCTTAAAATTCCAATTCTGTGACAGCAGAATACACAGCACAGAATGTATTTTATCATGATAAAAGTATAAATGAAATTTTTAGCTAAATAAGAGAAAAAGTAAAACCAACTTGGAAGAAAAATCAACCAACTTGGAGCTATTTGATACCTCATATTGGAGAGGAAGTACTACTTACAGACTTTGTCCTGTCAAATGCTACACACTGCAGGATTTTTCAATTTATACACTGTAAGATAAATACTTTAGCATTAGCTACGTACCAGTTTCTCCAGCTGTCTTGTTCTTCCCATGAGGTTTATACAGAACATATGAGCATCCCTTGATATGGAAGTGATCATTTATTTGCCTAAACCATCTGAAACAATAAGCTTAAAGATTGTAGTAACTCAAGAGTTATTAAATGCAATTTCATTTCTCACACTTTTCCTGTGCTTAGACAGTTTAGGAAAAAAAGTCTCTACTAAGTACCCACCTCACTAATATTTAGATTGTAGATGACCATGGCACCAAATACAAAACTTACATATCCTGGACAGAGAAGTAAATACACAGAGGCTTTTCCTTCATTTTGCTTTTCCAGACTTGACATATAGATACATAATCACCAAAGATCTGGATGTGAAATGTTGGTCCTGTTGTATTTAGCCCAGTCACCTCTAATGTTCAATTACTCAGCCTTTAGAAAGACACACAAATTCTGAGGTACCAAACTTCAGCTGTGATTTGTAGGGTACATAAATGAAATCTAAGATACCAGAAGGGACCCTTCAAGTGAGACTTTCTGCTTATCCTGTTGGGTTTCTCTCACCTAAACTTCACAAAGCCTGAGCATCACAGGAGCCTCATACTTCAACTCCTCACTGCAGCACTAAGTAAGGACAAGCCCGAATTGGAAGATTCAAATTCACATGTTTGAAGATAATACCTCAATCATAAAGCTATGTTGGGTAACGGGGTTGGCTTCCAGCCCTCCTGTTTCCCAATCTGCCAAGCACTTCAAAATTATTGGACAAGGTAGGAAAAAAAAAAGAAAACAGAAAGATAGGTAACTTCTCTGCTGCATAGAGAATGCTCAAAGAGGAAATCAAAGAATAATTATAACTTTCAACTTTGTCTGTATAGACTGTTGAGACAAAGAGACAGAACATCATATCATCTTGGTCTGTAACAGTTGCTATACCACAGAGTTGCTATACCCTGACATACTTCTGAAGAGATACAAATCCTAGATCTGAGTTTCCTAAAGCAAGTAAGGAAAATTTCATTACATTTTCCAATGATCTAGCCAGTATGCTAGATGGAGAATAGACTGCTGCCACATTTTCAAATCCAGCACAACCCTGATCTGCCAAATACTACATACTGCCCTAAAAAAAAAATTAACTAAATCAAATACAATTCATGAAGCAAGCAAGAACACTGCAAAAGTTTTTAAAACGTAACACACCAAAGCCCTGTCAACATGTTCAGCACTCTAGTACAATATGCTTCTTGGCTCTGTTTAATCCTAGAATGTCTTATTAATTTAAAATAAAAAAGTACAAAGAATTTAGGTCTAACCTTTAAATATCAGGAAACATCAGAGCAGAAGTGATAAAAAATGGCAAAGTGTTCTGTGACTCCAGCCCTGTTTTTGTTCCTGAACAGCTCCAATGCAGCAAGGATTCAGCACTACCTCATTTTCATTTCTTAAATTACATTTTACATTAAGCTAGTAGTGTATCAATTGTCTTTTCAGGCCATTTCAATGATACTAGCAAGCACTTAACATGCATTTTCAAAAAGAGGAAAATAAGTGTAAAGAGAAAGTTTCCTAACCAGGAGACTATGCTCATTAGAGTATTATATAACCATTACACAAACTGAACCAAAAATCAAATACAATTTCACATTGACCTGAAACTGAACCAAAAATCAAATACAATTTCACATTGACCTGACCAGTGTAACAACATCAAATAATTCAAAATAGCCAGTGCAAACAATCCTTTGAGAAGTTTCATTGTCAGAGTACTCAGGTATGCTTCATTATTCTAAAACTTAAAGAGGATTAACATGTCAGACAGTTTTTAAATAAATTAACTACTACCATATTTTTTAAGGTTCTGTCTCTTAGCTGCATCAAAAGAACCAAACATACCTCATTAGAGTTGTATTTCCAGTGAAGGGACCAAACCTAATCTCCTCAAATGGGGGCTGAAAGCCCAGTATATGCAAGGCTTCTTCTTGAGTGATGGGGGGTAAACTTTAAAAAAAAAAAGTGTTGTAATTAGAAACATAGTTTTGATACTCTAGAGGCAAAGCAAAGCAGTCTATGTGTGACTTTACCTTCCAGCTCCCAGTGTACTATATAAGAAATTCCAGCAAGACACTAAGGATGAAATTCCACAGGAAGTCTTGTATTGAGGTCGGCTAACACAATACCTTAAACAAAAAACCTCAAACATATTAGTAACACAATCTTGACTCACATATATGACAAACATGAACTACTTTTTTGTGTGCCATGCCACTAGTGCCACATTATATTGAATGTTTTTATGCCATCTGTATTAAAATTAAACAAAAAAACCCCAAAGCAACTGTATCCTTAAAAACAAAAATTAAGAAATATGTTAATAAATTTCTTTGCCAGATGCCACTACTGTATTTCATACACATCAGTCAAATTTCTAACAGCCCCATGGGAGTTTTGTACAAATAATCCTGTGTGAAAATATGATTCTGTACTAATATAATGAATGGTTTTATCCACTCCCTTCTAACAAGTGCACTTGTGGCAAACCATATCTCTACCAATTTACTAATGAATGTCATTCTGGGCCACAGATTCCCTAGGTTAACTTTCTGGTGTCACATAAGAAGTTAGAACCAGACAGATGCATTAAACTAATTGAATTAGTGAGCTAGCTACATTAATACAATAATGGTTGTATAGAAATGACAGCTTCTGATCAAGTATTTCCCAGTAAAAAGTAAAATCAGAAGTAAAACCTATCAATGGTATTAAGGTTACTTTTTGCTTGACCATGCTACTGAACTTGTATTTTGTTTTGCAATGAATCCCCATGTAGGTTTTCCTCTGTGCAGAAAGTAAAAGGAATTTTTGGAAAGAAAAATGTTTTAAGAATTTCAACAGATGGGAGGAAAGCTCTAATTTTTCTTCTAGAATGCATGAGACAGTGTGTATATGCTTAACATCTCTACTAAAAAAAATTTACAAAGTCATTATTGAGAAGTTTGAAATCAGGTAACTAGCAACAGTGTTTACTGAGAAACTATGTGGTTAGTGTAGTTCATAAATTCTTAACTTCATAAATGAATTCATAAATACTACCATCTCCGAAGGTCCAACACTTTTCTCTCCTTCACATCTTCAAGAGCTGAACGCTGAGGACACTCCCTGTATTGTTTGCTCTTTTTGTCCACAGATTTCTTCTTTGTCCCTTGTTTCTTCATGCTGCCTGCAAATGAAATTCCAGAATCAAATGAATGTCTAGTTTGCCATTTGCAGCTTTCTCCTTAAATACTTTTGATAATAGCATACAGCTCAAATAGAGACACCAGTTGTGTTAGTAAGCGTAAACTGGGACTAAATGTTAACTGAAAGAAGAAAGCTCAAATACATAATCTGAATTGTCAACATGTTTGTAAAGCTGCCATTAGCTCTGTAAACAACATGGTGTTTAGATCATGAACAGAATTAATGATGACCTGTCCAACTGTTTAGAGATAAGTCAATCTGATTATTCTAATGCATTAAATCACCCATCCCAGAAATAGTCTCAGACCAACATGGACCTCCCATCTCCTAACACTATGTAGGCACAGAACGTAATTAAATGCTTGTTTTTCACTGCCAGCCTTTCAACCAGCTACAGTTTCTGATGAAAACTTATATGCAAATTCATTAATAATAATATACACCCAAGGTCTTTTCCTTTTTATAAGCCACTGTGACAGCATAAAATGGAGAGCTGGGCCATGTGCTAAAGCAGAAATACTTTTGTCCTCTTTTGAAGCCATACATCTAGATGCATAATATACTAGGTCCTAGTAAAACAAAAGAAAAAAACCCACTCCAACAACACAGTGGGAGGGTCAGACACCAGAAACCATCCCAAAATTACACAGCTAAGCACAAGTCAGCCTTGCTTTGGATCAACTTCCCCTGGCAGTTATACTGATTTTCACTCCTTCTCTCTCGCCTATCCTGATGAGCAGGCTCCTTGAAATGAAGTACAGGCTCTTCCACAGCAATTCCTCACAGGAAACACGTGCTGGCCAGCTCCCTTCACAAACAAGCCAGAAACAAAAGCCTTTTCCTTTCACATCAAAACATCACCACCTCACCTGCTTTGTTCTTCAGATTTGAGTTCACGCCATTGAACTCAGATTTGTCTATTTCCCATGCCAGTGGAAGCTTTCCAAGATTGCCAGGCAGGCTTTCCAAGTTAGCATCTTCATTGTAGATAATCTCTGAAGCACCAGTTTGAATGCTGAGTAAGTTAGGTGTGTTATTTCCAACATTTAAGGCAGCACTACTTGATAGGCAGGCACTAACTGAAGCACTTGGACTTTTACAAATAGATGTGACTCTGTTTAAAAAAGCATAGTCTGAGCAGATGGTATAAAACTTCTCTCTTGTGTGAGTCACAGGACATCCCCATGGATAATGCCCATCTTCTCTAGACACCAAGGATGCAGTGGAGGTGTCTGACATGCAGTATGGCTTCACGGGATCGTGAAGAGAAGCTTCTGGGGATTCTTTCCCAGGTCTGTTTTCAGTGTTTCCATTATTTCCAGAACCATTTTCTTTTTCATCTTCTGAAATAGTAGGCATTGAATGATACTAAGAGTATTGCACAGCAAAGAATATTTTTTCTTTATGTTTTAATTACAACAGGGTTTTCATCATTGCCTCCATTGCCTTTGCAAGGTATCAACAAGGTACCTGAAAAAATGTTAAGTTAGTACAGGTGTCTCATTCCGCATAAAGCATACACAAAGCTTATCTTTGAACTCATAGCCAATAAAAGCTGAAATACCCTTTGAGATACCACAACACACGTGGTGTCTTTCCCTAAGCCTCTCTAGACTCTGCAATCAGCACTTTTTATCATTTGTGAGGTGCCAACAGCATACACCGCAGTGATATCATGATGAGGACATAATAAGTAATTGCACTTACAAACCAGCACACAAAAAAAAGAAAAATTAAAAGCTTTCTACATGTTCTTGGTTGTGGTTGCTCTTTTCTATCCCTTACAGTCATGATACACTGTGAAATACAGAATAATTCATACAAATTAATAAATCACCATACAGCAATTTAAGGTCATAATTTAAGGTCTTAATTCTGCTGAATCCTGCAAACTTTCGCTGCAAGGGAAGTTCAAGCATACGATTACAGTAACTATAACCTTATCGATTGTAAATTGACAACACCACCCTCAATCTGCTCCAGTGCTTTCCTCCTACAGCTGCTAAAGGTTCCCTTTTATTTTTACGTGCCTCTTATTCTTCAAGACGTGAGAAAGAAAAGCAGGTTTTGTTTATGGCAGCTAAGAATCACCAAAAACAAACTGAGACGGCTGGCTGGCTTGCTTTAAGCGATCACTTTTAAAGGGCAAGCTGGCAGCGTGTGTGTTATCTGTCATCCCAGCAGCTCGCACGTCTGCAGACACGCGCCGCAGACGGGAACCTGGCGCGAGGGAGGCAGGAATTCCGCTCCACTGCCTCCTCCTGCAGCACTGGCTTCGGGCCGCTGCCCCGCACCTGCGGGCCGGCCGGGCTCCGCTCGGCGGAGCGCAGGGACACAGCCGCGCACCCGCCCCTCCCCCCGCGCTGCCGCCAGCCGGCTCCGGAGTGAACAGCCGCGGGCTGGGGGAAGGGGCCCCCGGGACCGTGGGCTCGCTCCCCTCCTGGGCGCCTGCGAGGGGCGGGGGCGGCGGGGCCGCGCCCGGCCCGTGTTACCTGCGCGGAGCGGGGCTCGCCGGCGTCGCCTCCCGGGACGCGGGCGCGCCGGAAGCAGACTCAGCCGCGCGCTCACCTGCGCGCCCCCGCCGCCCCCCGCCTCCTCCGCCGCCGGCCCGCAGCAACTCCCACCGCCGCACGGGGACGGGGGGAGGCGCGGGGCTGCCCGGCGGCCACGGCCGCGCTCACGCTGAGGGCCCACACGGCGCCTCGGAGGAACCAGTGGCGAGCGCCTCCCGGCTGGGCCGCGACTGCGCCTCCGTGCCGTGAGTGGCGCCTCTTCGGTCGCCCTCCCCCCCATTTGCGCCCTCATGGTCTCGCCCGCTGGTGCCCCGCGGGCGGGCGGGGGAGGGAGGGAGGGGAGGAGCGGGTCGGGGATGGCGGGGGCGGGAAGCGGCTCCTGTGTGGGGGCTCGGCGCGGAATTGTGAGAAACACCGAGGGAGATGGGCCTGCTCAGCCTCGAGGAAAGACGGCTGAGAGGGGATCTCATCAGTGTCTATAAGTATTGAAGGGAGGGTGCCAAAAGGATGGAGCTAGGTTCTGCTCGGTGTGCCGAGCAATAGGACGAGAGGCAACGGACAGAGATTGATGCGCAGGAAATTCGACCTGAATATGAGCAAGAACTTATTTACTGTGCAGGTTACCAAGCATTGGAACAGGTTGTCCAGAGAGGTTGCAGAGTCCCCCTCACTGGAGACGCTGAAGAACCGTCTGGATGCAATCCTGTGCAATGTGTTGTGGGCTGACCCTGCCTGGGCAGGGAGCTTGGAGCAGATGACCTTATATTTGCACCAGGGTCTTGGTTCCCTTGACAGTAGTAAGGACATGTGTAACAACAATGCTTCTGTAAAAGTGTATGAAGGAATGAAAGTTTATTTCAGGTAACGCTGTCTGGAACTGCTGACAATATTTGTCGTCTCATCCTTCACTGCAGTCAACATGAACAAACACAGTACACTGAAGATGCAACTGGAGCTGTTCTGCTACTGCCACAAATATGTAAAATTAACTAAATTTTATATATTCAGATTTATTTTATAATAAAGTCGTTATAAAATTTTAAATAAAATATCAAAAAGTTATATGATGTCCTGCTGACAGAGGATTCACTCCTGGCAATAACAACACTGTGCCCTCAGTCCACAGTGCCTCTACTCCCAGCAATACCTTCTGTGTGAGGTGCTGCAACTAAAAATTACAAAATTCTGGACAAACCCAGAATCTATTATCTCCTGAATTGCTAGTGTTATTTGATGGTTCTCAGTGGCTAGGCAGAGCTCAATTGCCAAAGTGCTCAAGCAGTTGTGGGTACAGCCATGTCTGCCCTCCCTTGGACATGAGAAGACCTAGATCACATTCCGTAGTTTATGTGGCTTCATCCTGAGGCAACCTGCCCCTTGTAAAGGAGAGCGTCCCTTATGCCTTTGCCAGCTGGAAGCCTGTTGAGCCTTAGTCGGCCAACAGCATTTGATATAATTAAATAATTCTGCCTCCAAAGCGTTTTTATCTGAGCCAAATTATAGGCATTAGGATAGCAGCGATGTTGGCTTTGCCAGCCAAGACTAAAATTAGGTTGCATGATTTATCTTATAACTTGTTTGGGTGCTGACAAATAGTGCCAAATCTCTGCATGGATTCCCTGAGCTGCACTTATGTGGGGGGGAAAAAAGCTGGAGGAGAGAACATCAGGAGGGTGGAAGTGTGTCACCTTTACTTTATCACTGCTGTGTTTTTTTAACATGTCAGTGCTGTCCTGCTGAGAGGAGGAAGCATGATCTGTGAATTCTACAGCTATCAAATTTATTTTAATTGAAAACATCTCTAAAGTTCGCTTCCATTAGAGGAGATTGGCTTCTCTCACACAGCAAAATATAAGCTGGGAAGGAATGTGATTTCTTTACACATCAGGAGAGTAAAGATGGGGAAAGGAGAGGAGCTAGAGTCATGGATATACAATAGAGTCTGTGTGAATTTTTAGACTGGAAATTGTAAGTCTTCTAAATGCTGAATGTCCTGAAAACTCATCACAGTTAGAACATAACAGGGCAAAAATGATGTCTTTAGAAGCTGGATCTTGGTAATATTTAAGGCATTTTGTAATGACTTTTTGGTTAGAAAACACTCTCTTCATCACCCCAAGTTGTCATTTCTCAGCTTGAAATTTGCTTCAAACAAGTGCTTTTTGTGTGCTTTTCTCTAAGCATATTTGCAGTATTTCAAAATGTAAAATATAAAATCTTTTTGAAATTCATGAGTCCTTGCTGATGAGTTTCAATTTTCTTTACTGTTTGCCTTAACAAGAGAGAAGCCGTCAGGAGCCAAGTTGAAAGTATCTTAGAGGTCTTTTCCAACCTAAATGATTCTGTGTGTAGTAAAGAACAGCATTAGTGTTTGGCACTATCTCTCTGCAATTGGAGACTGGATTATTTGACAGACAAAGGGCCATGGAATCACCAAAGGCCCGCACTGGGTGATTGCCCTGGTGGCAGTGGGTGACGTGCCCCCTCACCTCTGCTCCAGACAATCCCAGACCTGCACTACCGGCAGCCACACATCACAGAGTCACAAAACTATTAAGGGAGGAAGTGACCTCGGGAGATCATCTCATCCAACCGCCCAGCCAAGGCAGGGTCACCTGGAGCAGGTGGCATGGGAACACAGTGGGTTGGGAATGCCTCCAGAGAGGAAGACTCCACGGCCTCCATGGGCAGCCTGTTCCAGGGCTTTGTCACCCTCAGCGCAAAGAAGCTCTTCAGCTGCTCCGGGGAGGATTCTGAAAACACATTTTCCGGATTCTAAACTCCATTTCCCAACCTAATGTTTGCAAACGGAGAGAAGGGAGGCGGGTGGGGGGAGAACTTGAGCTCCTGGCATGGGTTAAACAGCGGCTCAGAGAGTCCGGATGCGTAGGACAGGGCCGCGGGCCATCAGAGCCGGCTGTCCCTAATGCTTTCCAGGCCCTGGTCCCAACAGTTCCCGCGGGCTCAGCCAGCGCCTCCCAAGGGGCCGGCGCCTCCCGGCAGCGCCGCCCCGCCATGCCGCGGCCCCGCCCCATGGAGCGCAGCGCCGTGTGGGGGCCCGGGCTGCGCGCCGCGGCCGCGCTCCCCGCACGGTACTTCTATGTGCAGGCCGTGGACGCCCGAGGGCTGAGGTGAGGGCAGCGGCGGCTTTTCGGGGAGATTCTGGGCACGGTCAAGCCGAGAGACTTGCGATTTGTTCGTAGAAGGTGCAGGCTAAAAGCTCCCTCTACGTGACTCTGCATATCACTTGGCAAGAGCTAATTAATCTTTTCAAGGAGTATCAAATAACGGCGCGAGGGGATGAGATGAGAGGATGAAAACGTTCAGCAGCAGCAAAGCGTACGTGTTAGTCAGTGGAAAAATTCATTATTTATTCTCCTTTGTCAAAACTTTAGCAGTGACTAATACATTTAATTTGTTAGGCTCAGGCATCCTGCTTGTTTCCACTGTTGGGAACATTAGCATTTCTTCTACCGGCCGATGCACAAGATCAGTAGAATAATTCAGGAATTACTCCATAGGCCAAGAGGTAAACTTCTTTGGAATGAAATAGGACAAGGAGCAATAGCCATAAAGTAGAATACAGGAAATTTCACTTCACCATGAGGAAAAACTCCCTGAGGGTTGCAGAGGACTGGAACGGGCTGCCCAGGGAGGCTGTGGAGTGTCTCTCTGGAGACATTGGAAAGCCCCCTGGATGTGTTCCTGTGTCCCCTGCTGCAGGTGACCCTGCTTTGGCAGGGGGATTGGACTAGATGGTCTCCCGTGGTCCTTTCCAACCCTAACAACTCTGTGATTCTGTGATTTTCAGAGGATACTCATTGCTTTCCATTTATTTAGGAAAACTGGTCATGCAACCTAGATAGGTGCTCAGAATGCTCCATCAAGGTCATCCTGATTAGGTGCATCATGGCTTGTGTGAGTATGAGCTGCCATTTAGCTTAACTTGGATAGTAAATATTTCTTGCATTTTGAACTGGCAGCTCTTGAGTATGTCTGAACAAGTTTTAGGAAAGGTGGTGGGAGTAGCTGAACTAAGAAGTTACAGCCCAAGAGTCTGGGCACTGCTGGAAGAAAAGTGAAAGGAAGTTGACAGCATTTTGACTGCACCAGCTTTGTTGATACCTCAATGATATGTGATAACTTCATGATTATTCAGATTATTTTATTTGGTTTTATAGAGGTTTTTCTGTTTTGGTGTATGTTTAATTATACCAAAATATCTCATTTACACACTGAATTACGTGAACCCTTTATAATTTTTCCCTGTTTTTTTTTCCTGTAAAAGCTACTATAATGATTAAGAAGTGTAACTTTGTTCTTTACTTCCTTAAATAATACCTGGAAAATAAGATAATCTGAAAACATTTTACTTCTGAATGTAAAATAATAGACTTATTAACCTGTTAAAGTGAACATTCGGATGTGCTTCTAGAGGCCTAACATGGCTCAGAGGAAATGGCTAACACGGCTCGCTGGAAATCTGTTGACTTGCAAAGGAATAGACCGGACTAAGAAATCTGTTGTATGTTTACTTTGTTTATTAAGCTCCCACTTATTCTCTGGGTAGGTTCACTTCATCACCAGGTGAAAATGCATTCCAGGTGAAGATCACTGCTCCTGAAGAACAGTTTACTCGTGTTGGTGTGCAAGTATTGGACAGGAAAGATGGTTCCTTCCTCGTGAGGTACAGGATGTATGCGAGCTACAAAAGCCTGAGGATAGAAGTCAAAACTGGAGATAAGCATGTTGCAAAGTCTCCATATATTTTAAAAGGTAAGAGGCACCACTATCACAGGTTTCCTGTCATGGCTGACAAAGTGTGTCCCAGAATGTCTTCTACTAGAAGCATAGTAGAAGACATTCTGTGACACATACTCATACCTCATACTTCTCTAGACTATCAAATCCCATTGAAATTATGGATTCATTATATGTGTCCTACACATAGTGTTCAAAATAATGAAAGGAACCAAGTGCTGTGAAGCTGTTGCCTAATAAATACAGGTAGAAGGGTCACACATAAGCTGATGTAGGTTGACATGACTCCATTAGAGTTAAAAAAAATTCAGACGTATCTGTTTAGAGTTGCTGAAGTTTTGGCCTTAAGCAATGAATGTTCAGAGCTTGACCCTGTTCTGTGATCTCAACAGCTCAATATTATGACTTATTAAAAGTAAAATAATAATTTTGTTCCCAATAGGACCTAT